TTTTCTCTTTAAAATTGTTTTACAATTACAATTCTTGTTCAGAATGCGATTCTTTTTCATTCTCACCATTTTGATCGTTTTTTGCTATTGTGAATCTGCAGAAAAGGTGAGATCAAGGGGAAAAATTGAAATGACAAGCTTGAATTTTCAGAATGACTCGACAGCCTTGACAAATTCGGAACAGGTACAGTACTGGACAATGAAATATGATATTTGAAAAAAGATCGTCACTTTCGCGCGTCTGTAACTCCCTTGTCTTTGAGTTTAAACTATTAGTGTTATACATTTTCTGAAAGCTCTTTTCAATGGCTACACAATGGTAATATTAATATTTAGAAATGCGGTAAAGACAGGGGAGTTACAGACGCGCGAAAGTGACGATCTTTTTCAAATATCATATTTCATTGTCCAGTAGTGTAATTCTTTTCTTTGAAACTTTTAAACGAAAATCTAGAATCTCGTTCGCACAAAAAGAGAGGACATTTTTGCGAATAACTCGATCGTTCAAGCATTGGTGGGTTATGAAAGATATTCAGGGGAAGAGGATACTGTAGATACAGCTCAGTTTCTTGTCTCATCACAGTATCTCTTTTAAATTCTCTAATTGTCGGCTGAATACTTTTAAATCTGGCACTTTATTGTAAACTCGAAAGATAAGCAAACTTTCGATCAGTTCTATAAATCCCTCATTACCTTTTTTGTAATATGATAAAAGGATTAAAAATATTAAAGTATTGATAAAGATAAAGATGCAAGGCTCACTTGCGACGTTTTTCCGAGAAAATCCTGGGGTTGCGCTTTAAAGCATGGTAAAACTACCGTACCCCTCCAATTTACGCGAAATTTCATCTTTTTTTCGTTCTTATTCATTTCGTTTTATTCTTTTTGCGTTTTTTTCAACTAAAAATTCACAAAAACAAAGCTTCCGCCATAGAAAATGATAAAAACCACACTTACCGTAAATACTGTAATAGTACCCCCGCGCCCATAATGACGGTGCGGAGTGTTGCGTAGTCTAGTTTTGAACGAGTTTTTCTCGACACTGATTTATGCTAGAATGCTCGCTGCGGTATCAAAAAATAGCCCTGAATTTCAGCTATTTTTTGATACCAAAGACGCATTTTTTGAAAGTACGGGCGCTTTGAAAAAAGTTAAATACTAAAAAACTTTTGCGACTACGCGACCGTACGAGGGGGATGGGGTACTATTACAGTATTTACGGTAACATTAGTTGGCATCAAGTTCGTCGAGCAGATCGTCAGGAAGCAAATGGGTCTAAAAAAAACCCTAAAAACAAAGCTTCCGCCACAGAAAATGATGTTAAAAACGTAGCTTAGCTCTTTGTTTTCTGCAAAAACAAACGCGACCACATCAGAAAAACGCGAAAAGAATCAAATGAAATGAACAAGAATGAAAAAAATGAAATTTCGCGTAAATTGAAGGGGTACGGTAGTTTTACCACTCTTTAAAGCACCAACCCCGGGATTTTCTCGGGAAAAGGTTTCAAGTGCAAGGCTCAACAATGAATTGTATATTTTATTTTTCAGCGTAAAGCTTTCAAGGATCCAAAAGAAGTAAAGAAAGAAAAGCAGCGTCACCGTGCTCATATCAGAAAAGTTCTTCGAGATAGACGATTGAAAAGAATTCGACAAGCAAGACAACAGAGAAAAGCGAGAAAACTCGCGAAAAGGAGGTGAGATTTCGATTGGTTAGCATGAAAGGTATTCAAACTTGACGATTAAACACTTTTCTAGTTGTTTTGTAGTTTTAAACAAGCCTTTTGAATCTTGAACAAGTTCTTTATTTGTCAGCTACAGTTACAACACTTTTCTCGAGATTATAGCTAAACCTTATCAGCTGTGGTTGCTTAATTTTTCTTTAAAATCTTCTTATTCTTATCTCAAAAAGATTTCCCCTATAAACTAAAGATTTCTTTTTTTTTCAGAAACAAAGTCCACCGAGCACATCAAAAATTCGTACGCAAAAATCGAAACCTTCTTCGTGGCTTTAAAGCAGGGAAAACATTCTAAAGTTTTTGATTTTAGAAAACTTTTTGCAAAAAAAATTGCAAAGAATTTTTCTAAAAGTTTTTCTTTTTTACATTTCCATAAATTTTTTTATATCTTAGCTTTTTCTTTTTCTTTGCTTTTTCGATATTTCGATTGATTTTTCTCAAATGAGAGGGATTTGGGGAAGAATTTCGAGAAAAGGGCAAAAAAGAAAAAAAAATAGCTGAAGGAGATCTCTAGAGGAAGCCAATTTCTTTGCGAATTCCATCCAGAAATGTCTGCGTGGAAACGATTTTGGTGGCTTTTGAGAGAAAACAGACAGACAATGTGGGGAAATTCGTTGAAAGGGATACAAAAGAAATAAACAATATCTTTAAATGCTGCTTGAAAAATGTAAAACCGTTATTTTGTCTTGTTTTCTAAATATCGGTTTTGCTATTGCCTTTCATTTTTGTTTGTTAGTTCAAAACAGCTGTTAGTTCAAAAATAAATATGACACGTCTGAAAGAATAATACTCGAATATTTTAGATATTTCGATATTTAGATATTTCGATTTCTGATGTACAGGGTGCGCCAAAAGTTCCCGTACTTGTATTTTCTATATTTTTGGTGATGTTAGATAGAAGATACGATTTTAGTTACCGGGCACAGTTACAGGGCACAGTTACAGGGCACAGTTACAGGGCACAGTTACAGGGCACAGTTACAGGGCATAGTCTTGTGCCCTGTAACTCTCTTGTGCCCGGTAACTATGCCCGGTAACTGTGCCCTGTAACTGTGCCCTGTAACTGTGCCCTGTAACTGTGCCCTGTAACTGTGCCCTGTAACTGTGCCCGGTAACTGTGCCCGGTAACTGTGCCCGGTAACTGTGCGACCAAAGCGCCCCTTGAGCGGACCCTCTTCTCAATCACTTGTCTTAAATAGTGTTGCACTTATAAATTAACCAGAAACGTTTTCTAAATCAGTTTTTCGCGAGGAATTCGAATTTCTTACTTTTAAAATCGTATCTTCTATCTAACATCGCCAAAAATATAGAAAATACAAGTACGGGAACTTTTGGCGCACCCTGTAGATGTAAAGTTATAAAGGAATTGAAACGCTCACTTTATTCACTTCACTAAAACAATTCCCAGCACTTCGATGAAGTGAATAAAGGATTCCCTTTTTCTAACTCCCTTTTTCTAAAAAATTACAACATTTCAAAGACTATCGTAATCTGTAATCTTATGGAGCTCAAAGCTGTATTTGAGTTTTTCGTCAAGTTGTAGATCAAAATTCGATCTGTAAGTCGAATATTTTAAACTCAAATATATTTATTGCTCAAAATACTGTATGACATCATTGCGAACGATCACAAGGCAATTCAAGGTAAGATTATGACAAAATAATTTATAAAAGTGAGAAAATATTGTTTTTTTTTCAATGACACAAGCTCTTTTAAATAGTTGCACACAAAGGAAATAAGTATAAAGGAAAGGGAATTGACGCTTTGAAATATAAAAAGAAAAAAAAATGATATGAATCGAGCACAATCAGTTTGTTTATTATGGGAATATGATTGAAAAGGAAAATAATGAAAATAAAAAGAAGAATACCCGCTTTTCTTCAGAAACGATCGGCGAGAGGATTACTGAAAATATTTTATAGAATTTTGTTTTACTATTAGTAGAAAACTAACAAGGAGATGCTATAAAATGGCCTTAGTGTTCAGGAAAGAGTGTTCAGGAAAGAGTGTTCAGGAAAGAGTGTTCAGGAAAGAGTGTTCAGGAAAGAGTGTTCAGGAAAGAGTGTTCAGGAAAGAGAAGATCGGGTACGCGCGCCCTTACCACTCCGCCATCTTCTCTTTCCTTTGAGATGCAAGTGGCCTTTGAGATGCAAACACCTATCGGACACGTACACATAACGCCTGCAAACGCCTATCGCCTATCGGACACGTACAATTTGTATTCAGTTGTTGTTTGTCGCTGCTGTATCCAGAATCCAGTTTTTGCCCATATTTAAAAACACGAAAAAAGTGTCAAAATTTCTACGTGTCTACGTGCCGGGGGCTTATAAAACCTCTTTTCCGCCCCGCCAGATGTGACCGGATGGCGGAGTGGTAAAGGCGCGCGTACCCGATCTTCTCTTTCCTTTTTGGCCGCAGGTTCGAATCCACTCCGGGAAAAACTTTTGTTTCCTTTTGCAAAATTAGCGATTTTTGTATTTTATAATTCCTAAAGTATTCACTATCATGAATTACTTAAAAGCCTTTAGTAAACAACAAAATTTAACATACATTAACATTAACATAACTTTAGCAATCATCATGAAAAGCTTCGAAGAAACATTTTGAGAAACAATAGAGATTGTGGCATTTAGCACATTTGATAAATGCCCAAAATCTACATTTGATATTTCCTTACAATCTAGTTCATCACAATCTGCAAGGCCTACATCAAAAAAAACTTGAATCGGTGTTTCGAACAATGGAGTGGATCTAAACTTGCGGCCAAAATGGAAAACGAGGGTCGGCTAGGCGCGCACTTGCCACCACGCCGTCTGGTCATATTTTGCAGGTCGGAAAAGAGCTTATTTGTGTAAATAATGGCGGTTTAGGACTCAGAATTCCCACAATTTCCCAAGAATTTCAACGCGATCACCGTAAAACCCGAGACGATTACGGTATGCGCTTAGATATTCGCTTTAATATGATGTTACGAAAAAGAGCTTTTAAAAGTCCGCAGCACGATTTCCCGAGTAGACACTCAAACCTTGGACATCATGTTTCTAAATATGGGCAAAAACTGAATACAGAAACGGATTCCCCGTGTCCGATAGGCGCTTGCATCTCAACGGCGTCAAAATCAGCTACGGTCATTTTGTGGGATCTCCTTGTAAGCTTTATTACTTTTCAAGCTCATCTATTCAATAAAAAATGGTAAATTTTTCGAAAGTTAATGTTAATTAAAGTTTAAATGTATGTTTAAATGTTTAAATGATTCAAAACTGACATGTTGTTTGTAATCCTTTTCATCGGGATCCTGTTTCTCGTTCACATAATCATCTAGAATGAACAATTTTTACAATAAAACAATAAAACAATAAAACAATAAAACAATAAACAATAAACGATTTTTTTTAAAAGTTTCCTCAACAAACCATCTTGTTTTCGATCATCTGGATGCACTTCGACCTCAATCTTTCTTTGTTTCATTTTCTCGAGTAACTCGTGAGCAGGCACGATTTTCGCTGGCTCGAATTTGATCTCATCACTAAAATAGCCGTTAAAATTACTGTAATATAGAAAAGATTCGTTAGAAATCATTCTAATTCCAATAGAAATCATTCTAATTTTTGCAAATTGTTGAAATTATTCAACCCTTTCTTCTATGTTTTCGCTATTGAGCAGATCAAAAAGCGGACACCTTTTTCTCGCATTTTTTAAAATATGGACAGCCAAAAAGCCATCAATTGACTGAATATCTTAAGAATTATCAACTAATCAATTTTTGAACTTTACCGATTAAACTCGAGCCCATCATCGGCTTTGTGCTTCCTCGCGAAATGCACCGTCTCATTCTGCACATAGTAGGGGCCCTTTGGGTGACCCTAAATCATAAAATTCGTTAAATATTTACGTTTTCTACATCGAGTAGTAAACCCTATGCATTTAGAATCAAAAGAAGAATCGAAAAGGCAACGAGAAGTGTGGATGGAAATTCCAACGGATTGACTCATCGTCCCTCATTCACCTTTGGAAAGGGTGCAACAAAAAGGAATGGTTGAGAAACTATATAGTTGAGAAATTTGATCGATAAAAGAGATCTAGTTTTTTTAAAGTTGATAAGTTTTTGAAGCTCATTAGATTACCAATGATCTTCTTTTCTGTAAAGCTACGGGCATTTGGAAGGATGGGCTTTGGAACAATGAAAATCGAAGTAATGATTTTTTTTAGCAAGTTGGCAGCCAGTTATAACCTGCAAAACATGCAGGATTAAAAATCAGAGGAAACTGGTTGACCAAGGGATCGAACCAAGGTGCTTTATGGTCTGGACTTGTAGTCGACAGTTTTTTTACTTGTAGTCGACAGCGACACCACGCCGCTGGCTAGCTCGGTTGGGAAAAATGAACTGAAGTAAGGAAAATCCCTAGAAACCTAGCGCTTAGAGTCCACCTCAATCTATCTAGAGTCTAGGTCTAATTTTCGACCTTTGCGGATGAATGCGATAAATGATGAGGTTAACTCTGATATTTACTTTTATTTTCGTCGTTTTCTTAGAACGCCCCAATCGCTCGCTTGCCTCCACCGGTGGATTTGCCATCGAAGACTCGTTTAGGAATCAAAATAAAGGCATTGCATGTACGTTCTTTAAATATTCCGTTTAAAAAAAACTATTGCTAATTTGTAACAATTTAGGTGGCAACCGAATGGAAGTGGACTGCTGGCGGAGACGATACGTGTGGCATTTGTCAGATGCCCTTTGAAGCTTGCTGTGTATTGTGTCGAACACCGGGTGATGATTGTCCACTTGTAAGTATGCAAGTTATTAGTTGCTAGGTAGCGCTTGAGTAGTTAAAATACAAAATAAAGGCACCTCAATCTATCTAGAGAAAAGAATCTGTCTTAAAGCGTATTCATTTCATTTTCGGTGAAATGAAATGGTGAAACGGTGGCTAATTTGGGGGCACAACGGTAATCTTTCTTTCAAAATTTCCCCGATTTACTTGATGAGATTCGATGAGAAATCAAATTGTGAATAGAGCTACTGTGAATAGAGCTACTGTGGATAGAGCTACTGTGGATAGAGCTACTCTTTCGATAAGCACTTTACCCTTTTTGATCAACTAAATGAACTTCTTCAATGAAATCCCATCTGATAGCACTTTTGAAAAGTTTTCTTTTGATTGAAATTGATGAAAATTTAGTATTTCGAAAAGAATCCAATTTCTTTAGTTTCTTTTTTAGTTAGAAAAGATTTGAAAGCGATTTGATCAGATATGAATCCCCATTTCACTTTGCATACAACGAAGAAAAGGAGAAAAGAAAAGCGATTTGTTCGATTGGCAAAAAAAAAAAAGATGTTCGCTTGGCCTTGGCTTTTGCTGTAAAGTGCAGGATGTGAAGGAGTGCGGTGAATTTGGAAATATTCCCGAGGTTGAGCGTCAATTAGAAATGTTAATTCAATAGCCATAGAAGCTGCCTATTGAAGTGAATAAAAGGAATCCTGAAGGTAACTCAATTTCTAAATTTTACACAGAATTGGTGAAGGATGAAACTTGTGCAAATTTCATCCTTTACCAATTCTGTGTATAATTTAGAAATTAAGCTGTCATTTATAAGCTTTACAAAGGGTGTACAGGGTGATTAAAAAGTTGGTACAAACTTTTTAAAAAGCTTTCCCCCCCCCCCCCCCCCCCCCCCCCCCCCCCCCCCCCCCCCCCCCCCCCCCCCCCCCCCCCCCCCCCCCCCCCCCCCCCCCCCCCCCCCCCGCCCCCGCCCCCCCCCCCCCCCCCCCCCCCCCCCCCCCCCCCCCCCCCAAGTCTAGATCTAGCTCTCAAGCTCGAGATCTAGCTCTCAAAAGAAGCTCGATTTTCCAGCTAAAACCCAGATCGAAATTCGACTTACTATAATTATTTAGTATTTTGAAGTTGGAGAGCATTCTGGGAAGCATTTCTACACTTAAACCATTCTGCTCAAAGCCATCTAGCTCTTCAAAGAATCATTGTAGTGCGCTGAAAGGAAACGATAATGGCGTTCACCCATTTGAAACTGTTTTCAATTGAAAATCCTTTAAAATCTTTTAAAAAGCCTTTTTAAACGAATAAAATCTCTTGTGAAAATGAAAAACGTCAAAATAGTCTTTAAAAACATGCGAAACTTTGTTTGTTTGGCGGTTTTTCTTGAATCAAGTGCAAGTCTTCTAGAAAAAGGCTTGAAATTTCTAATAAAAGTGATTTACTTATAGAAATTTTCATTAGAATTTCAACATTCAAAATACTATAAAATTGGAAATTTTCTTTTAGCTTTCATTTAGAAAATCAATCATTTACAAATGGAAACTTTTTGACCTTGTAAGGATTTAATAGTAAGGATAGAAGCCAGAACAGTTTTAAGATCAGGACAAGGGCCAGGCTCTGATCAAACAGACCAAGGTTCAGGTTCAGAGCTGTAAACCAGGACAAAGACCAGGTCCAAACCAGCAAGTCAGACCAGGGGAAGGACCAGGCTTACTACCAGGACCAGGGGAAGGACCAGGGTCTGAGTCTGAGCTTAAGCTTAAGCCTGAGCCTAAGCCTAATAAGTAAGAACAGATCTAATAGCTCAGTTCAACCAGGTGATACTTTGAAAGTTAACAGGTAGACAGCTAGTTAACAGCTAAAAATCAAAGCATTAGAAGTAACAGTGATCGGAAGAGCTACTGTACAATTTGCGTTTCAAAGATTTGGGGCGGGGAAAGCGGTGACAGAGTACGGTAGCCGAATGATCGAAGAGAGAAATTGAGGGGTGATCATCAAAAAAAGTGGGGGGTAAAGAGAAAAGGAATAGAATCAGAAGCGATGGAAAAAGATGGAGAAAAAGAGACTGTACACAGGGTGAGTGTCCCTTCGGACCCCCTCCCCTCCTCCCGTCTTTCCCCGTTTCATTCCCATTCCCATTCCCTTTTTTCTTCACTCAATTCTTCATCTTCACTCCTTGTTTCTATAGTTTTACGTATCATTTGCATAGCTACATGGACACGAATTACAGGTTGGCCCTTATCTAGCCCTTGCCCCCTTCCTCTCCATCCCCTCCCCATCACTTCCCCTCCACCCGATTTTGTTGAGACTAACACTCTCGCCTTTTTTCGGCTAATGTTTTCTATTTTGTGTTTCTCGAATTTTTGCATACATAACATCCCCCGCTTCTCAACGTTCCGGTTTTGTTATGAAAAAATCAAAAATCTTCCTCTCGAAAATAAAAATAAAATTTGGGGTGATGGATTGATTGATTGAGGTCGAGGATGAAGTGCTTTAAAGTTCAAAGATTCGATTAAAGCTTCGAGCAAAGCTTCGATCAAAGATTCGAGCAAAGCTTCGATCAAAGATTCGATCAAAGCTTCGATCAAAAATTGCAACTCTTCAAAAGTTCTACTTTATTTTGTTACATGGAACTTGGCAAGCAAACAAGGCTAAAGCCAGCTCGTGGTCTGACTTCTGCAGTACGACCTCAGGCCCGCAAGCAATGCCGGAAGCAAAACCCTAGCTTTCCTGGAGGCTTGGTCCACAAGAAGTTCAAAGAAGTTAGCTTCTGGCCTTGTCTTGCCTAGCTGACTCTAGATGACTCTAGAAACAGACTCTAGAAAGAACCCTATTCACAAGTAACCTCAAACAAATGATTTCAGTGATCTCGGCTTTCGAAATCGTCTTATCAAGCAACAACCCAACGTGCAACTCTGCGGTTACAATGAAAAGGTTGGTAAACTTAGCATTGAACTACTTAAATCTTAAAACAAACTATTTATAGCCCCAAGATGACAATAAACCCCCATTTTCCTATGTGGCTCTGATCTACATGGCGATCTCGAGTGTACCTGAGAAGAAAATGACACTCGCACAGATTTACAAGGTGGGTAACAAAAGAATTCTAAGCCCTTCAGCTCTAAGCCCTTCAGCTCTAAGCCCTTCAGCTCTAAGCCCTTCAGCTCTAAGCCCTTCAGCTCTAAGCCCTTCAGCTCTAAGCCCTTCAGCTCTAAGCCCTTCAGCTCTAAGCCCTTCAGCTCTAAGCCCTTCAGCTCTAAGCCCTTCAGCTCTAAGCCCTTCAGCTCTAAGCCCTTCAGCTCTAAGCCCTTCAGCTCTAAGCCCTTCAGCTCTAAGCCCTTCAGCTCGTTACTTAATCATTTTTAAATATTTCAACTTCTATTAGCTTATTTGAAAGTTTATTCTAATATTCTAAATGAAAGATCTTTCTAGAAAAGGTCTAGAAAAGGCTTTACTTTCTTTGATCCATTTCATTTTTTCACTTAATTTCACAATCCTTTCTAAACAAAGCTTTTCCATTTTTCATTTTTCATTTCTTGTTTATTTCTGTTATTTCTAATGAATCAATTGATCAAAATTTTCATCAATTTTCCGAAATTGTCACATAAAAAATAGGAAAATCGACATTTTTTTTTCGCTTCAAATTTCCCTTTTTCCTTTTGCCCGTTTTTGGTGATGAGTCGAAAGGAAAAGACAAAACATTTCCCTTTAGCTTACAGAGTTTGAGAGAAATTCTCTTCAGAACTTCATCGAATTGTCGGAAAAACTTAAGAACAAGAACAAGAAAAAGCTTTTCTAGCTCTAGATCTAGAGCTAGAAAAGCTTTTTCTTTTGAGAGCTAGATCTAGCTCTCAAAAGAAGTTCGATTGTTCAGCTAAAACCCAGATCGAAACTCGATTTACTATAATTATTTAGTATTTTGAAGTTGGAGAGCATTCTGGGAAGCATTTCTACACTTAAACCATTCTGCTCAGAGCCATCTAGCTCTTCAAAGAAAGGAAAAGACAAAACATTTCGCTTTAGCTTACAGAGTTGAGAGAAATTCTCTTCAGAAGTTCATCGAATTGTCAAAAAAACTTAAGAACAAGAACATGAAATATTGAACGCTTAGCAACACAGTCTTGTTTTCTAAAAGATGCACTGAAACTAGAGTACAGTAGCAATTGAAGCCTGTAACTACTGCAAGCTATTGTAAGCTTGTAGTATCAGCTAAGTAGTACCAGTAAATAGCATTGTAAGCTGCAATCTACCATTCTTTAGTACATCGAAACCAACTACGAGTACTACCGGACAGCCGATTCGAAACGGAAACAAGGATGGCAAAACTCGATCAGGTAGAAATAAAGATGTTCTTTGTACTCAAAATGGAAATACATCCCTTCTGTTGCACTCGTTGTCTAAAGGATGAAGCAGTGAGTGCACCAGAAAGGGTACATTTAAAGATTTTGAGCATAGGAACATTGTCTAGGAAAGTAGATACTAGTAAATGACAGTAAATGGCAGGAAAAGGCAGTAAATAGCAGTAAATGACAGTAAATAATAGTAAATAGTAACTAGTAAATATTAAAAGCTTACTGAAACCTATCTATTCTAATTTCTAGACACAATCTCTCGTTGAATGATTGTTTTGTGAAGAAGCCAAAAGATGGAGTCAGCTCGGCTCAAGATCGAAAGGTTTTATTAAACAAGAAGCTTTTTTTAAAAATCAATCAAATATTAGGGAAATTTCTGGTCACTCACTCCGGAAAGTGAGAACATGTTTGACAACAACAATTACAAAAGAAGGTAAAGAGGAAATTAACGTAGCCGACGGAAAGTACTGTAAACTGGCTTTAAAGCTATCGCTATCTTTATTTAGAGATAACAAAAGAGAGATGAAAAAGATAAAGCTTTATAAAGAGCCAGGTTTACGGTAGCTTTTCATTAAACTTTTTAGAAAACTAGAAGAACATAACCCCCACGTGCCCATTTAGACGCGTTCGTCGCCCACCAGCGCCAATGTTTCCCCAGCAGACTCAACTCCAACTCTATTCTCAACACCCGTGGTACTCCATCATTCAACAAGCGGTTAGTTTTAGAGATTTATCAAAGCTCAATTACTGTATCTTCCTTATTTTACGGTTTCCAAGCTTTCACAGAAGCTCAACACTCAAATCCCCCACAAGATCTCATCGTCAGCTACATTTTCTAACCCACATCGATAGGTTTCGATAAGCGGTTTTCGAAATTTCAACAAATCTAAGCAAAGCTTTTAACTAGGGAACTAGGGAAAATCCGGTAATTCAGAGTCTGAGCTCGGTGATGCCCCCATCAATCACTCATCCATATCTCCCCTATATGACCGCCACTCAACTGGATCCTGATCAAAAGGATTTTCACGCTAATCTACACTTGGCCGCTACGGTTAGTGATCGAGTTTTAGAATTGGAGTCGAAGGATCATCGGACATTTGATACGCGCACCTCTTTTCCCATTGGCAACTTTGAGCTCAAATATCTTGGTGTTGAGCTGTTGAATTTAGATATTCTCGATATCATTAGATGCGCCAAGTCTTTATCTATTGATTGGTAGAAAAACTATTTCAATTGAACAGCCGAACACCAAGATATTTGAGTTCAAAGCTGGATGGGAAAGGGGGCGGACTACAGTAAGATTGATAGCTTAGCTGTACTGCAGATAGCTTAGCTGTACTGTAGATAGCTACAGTAAGTTTGATAGCTTAGCTGTACTGTAGAAGACTACGGTAAATCAACTTTGTTTTGGGTACTATAAAAGTGTAAGTTCTTGTCTAATTACAGTCGGTTTAAGATCGATTTTTTTAGCGGTCGAGTGAGCTTACTGTAGGCTTATTGTAATGGTATTAGGTAATATTAGCTAATATTTTTTAGATAAGTAAATCAAGGATGTTTTAGGATGAGCATACAGCTGCCAGTCTCTACTCGTCAAGTCTCACCAATCCATTGGCGAGCTTTATGCAAGGTTTGTTTAATATTTTAGAAGAATAAGGATCATCTGCATAGTTGGCTTACTCTTACAGTACTCTTACTCTTACTGTAAGTACATCTAGAGTTCTAGAGTTCTAGAGTTCTAGATGTACTTACAGTAAGAGTAAGAGTACAGTAAGAGTGTGCGGTCAAGAGTACAGCTATAAAAAAGATCGAACAGTCCAGACAGGCATCTAGACAAGTCACTTTTTGCCTTTTGAACAACTCTAGACTTTCAGACTCAATTTCTGATTGATTGACCCAAGCTTTCTGATTGATTGACCCAAAATAAATCCCCTTAGATCCATCCTCTGATTTCCTCTCTTCGTCAACCTCATCCGGATCATTCAGCGGTTTAGCCGCGCCGATCGCCACTCACGCGGGCATGGATTTCTGGTCGTCAGCTGGTGGGCTAGCCTACGGCGACTACATGGGTGTCTCTTCACTTCAATCAACCCCACCAACATCTTCATCTCATCCACAAGATCCCCATGCACCACTCGAGTTTCCCTATCCAACACAATGAGTGGATTATCTAATGTCTAATGATTGGATTATCTAATGTCTAATCAATCAATTATCTAATGTCTTCCATATTTTCAAGTAGAAATATTTGACAGTAAATTGCCGTAAAGATTTCCTAGAAGCACAGCTTTACTGTTTGCTAGCGTACCGTAGCGTACTGTAGCTTCTAGAATGTTTACGGTGTGTTTAAACTTGCTTCAGCCTCTCCCCTGCATTCCTCTTTCTCTTTTACAGGTTTTCTTTTGGTCAAAGTTGTGATTTTTGTTTTTCTCTCAAATTCTTTCAAAATCAAAGTCTAAGTCAACAAAATAGAAATCAAATGAAATCAAATGAAATCAAATGAAAACTCAAGCTCTTTTCCGCTTAAGATTACTGTAAAAGTCGAGTTTTTATCGAGCTACAGTCGATAAACAAAATCAATTACAATTTTGAATTTAAAATTTCAAAAAAAACATATTTAGTTTATCAACTATAGTGAGATAAAAGTTTGTACCGTATTTGTTCGAATAGAAGACCGGGTAAAGAGTATGATCGCGTACTCCTGCGTAGCAGCCCTTTTTAAAATTTCTTTTCTGCATAAAAGCTTTCAATCAAGTGCTATAGAGCTGGAAAATGACTCAAAAATACGACATGAGCTAACAGATTATTGAGCCATTTTCCAGCCCTGTAGCACCTGATTGAAAGCTTTTATGCAGAAAAGAAATTTTAAAAAGGGCTGCTACGCAGGAGTACGCGATCATACTCTTTACCCGGTCTTCTATTCGAAGAAATACGGTAAATTTGAATTATTTTCGAATTTTTCGACTTACCGCCGCTTGAAGGGACAATTTATTCAGACAATTCTCTGTTGTTATCTAAAGAAATCATTAGTCATTAATCATTAATCATTAATCATATTTCTATATGTTCAAAACATTTCCCCTAACCTGTAATGTTTGTTTCTCGTTTTGTAATTTTTCAATTTCGAGCCTCTTCTCCTCCAAAATGTGCTTGAAATTATGAATTTTATAATCATTTTTTCGAAAATAAATACCTGTAATTGTTCGAGATTTTCCTTTAGTTGAAGCACTTCTTAAATAAGACATTGAAAGAAGAAATAGTTAATTAATTGAATAGCTATTGATTGCTTGAATAGCTATTGGTTGCTTGAATAACTATTGATTGCTTGAATAGCTATGGGACTGCTGAATAGCTATTGCTTGAATAGCTATTGATTGACTGAATAGCTATTGATTTGAATAGCTATTGATTGCTTGAATAGCTATTGATTGCTTGAATAGCTATTGGTTGCTTGAATAGCTATTGGTTGCTTGAATAGCTATTGGTTGCTTGAATAGCTATTGATTGCTTGAATAGCTATTGATTGCTTGAATAGCTATTAGTTGCTTGAATAACTATTAATTGCTTGAATAGCTATTAATTGCTTGAATAGCTATTAGTTGCTTGAATAGTATTGACGAATACTTGATGCTGAATAGCTATGAGACGAATAGCATTGGGAATAGCTATTGGGATGCTATTGTTGACGAATAGCTATGATTGCTGAATAGCTATTGTTCTGAATAGCTATTGATGCTGAATAGCTATTGGCTGAATAGCATTGTGTGATACTATTAATGCTTGATAGCTATTTTGCTTGTAGCTATTGGTTGCTTGAATAGCTATTAGTTGCTTGAATAGCTATTGATTGCTGAATAGCTATTGATTGCTTAAATAGCTATTGATTGCTTGAATAACTAAATACCTTTTTCTTTCAATAGCAGCATCTCGGCTTGTTTCAGCGACGGGGCCAGCGTCGGCGGAGCGTTGAAACCGGCTGGATCGGCTTGGCAATTGTTGAGATCTTTCTGAAAATGGTATTACTTTTCTCAATAAAGTAACTCTAAAGCTATTTAGCTATAAAACCAGATAAATATTATCTAATGTAATCTATTACCTTGACTCTTGCTGATTCCAACTCACACCTCCTCACTCTTGTCTCGAATTCTTCTTTTTTCAATAGAATCTCCCGTCGCTCTCTGTTCAACAAATCCGAGGCCAACTCTTTGTGATCATACATTACTGAAATTAAGTTTTAAAATGAAAATATCATAAGTTTTGATACTATTTACTGTATATAAAATGGAAGGAAGGGAAAAGAGGATCGACGGGAGGAGAACGGAGGGAAATTTGATTTCAATTGGGATTCTTGAATACCCTCAATTCCCCTTTCTTTCTCCTCCTTCCTCTTTCTTCCTCCTTCTTCCTCTTTCTTCCCATTTCTTCCTCTTTCGTCAATCTTTTAATTTTCTCACGGGGGTTCTCGGCCCCCGTGAACCAATTTACATGTTTAGGCTTAATCAAAAGTCATCACAGCCGGGAGTCGAACCCGGATCGTGTGGACCGTAGACAAGTGCGCTACTCACTGCGTCAAAGTTGAAAATAGCGAAAATTTACTTACGAAAGTTAGCAAGCTAGTTATTTTGACATCTACTTATCTAATTTATTATATTATTACCGTAAATACTGTAATAGTACCCCACCCCTATAATGACGGGGCGGAGTGTCGCTTAGACTAGCTTTGAACGAGTTTTTCTCGACACTAGTTTATGCTACAATGCGCGCTTAGGTATCAAAAAATAGCCCTGAATTTCAGCTATTTTTTGATACCAAAGACGCATTTTTGAATGTACGGGCGCTTTGAAAAAAATGAAATACTAAAAAACTTTTGCGACTACGCGACTGTACGAGGCGGGTGGGGTACTATTACAGTATTTACGGTATATTATTTTATTAAAAGAGCAGTACCTGTCTGTACTGACTTTTTCTCAGGCTTTGGGCCAAAAAAACTGATTTTTTTAAAGTTCTAATATAATTGTGCCATTTAAAATCAAAAATTTAAAAAGTTAGAATTGGGTCGAGCCCGAATCGTGTGGCTTGTAGACAAGACTTGACAAGGCTTGTAGACTCCCGACTAGGCCACCGCGACCCCAAATACCTTTCCAGAAAAACCCGCAGTTACCCCTAACAGCGGGTTTTTCGGATGGTAAAAAGATAAATAAATAAAAAAGATAAATAAATAAAAAGGAGAAATATTATAAAGCTTTTCCTTAGTAAACAAGAATTGATTACATTGTAAACGCGCGATGACACTGTCCGTCTGCTCTTGACATTTGAGGAGATCGGCTGAGATTCTGAAAGGCAATTTTTGTAAATCATTATTGGTTTATCATGAGAAATTACGGTAGCTAAGTAAAGCTGACTTTTAATCTATCTACTAGCCTCTTTAGCCTTTAGTTTCACTGTAAACTCTCCCTTCCATTTGTCTCCTTAATCCTCCAGAAACTAAGCCATTACAGTACTTAAGAGTACTGTAAAATTACAGTACTTAAGAGTACTGTAAAATTACAGTACTTAAGAGTACTGTAAAATTACAGTAATCCCGTTAAAAAGTATTTCCTAATAATTGCTTTGATTACAAAATAATCGACCTTAACGGCTGAGAAGGAACCTTGAGCTTTATTCTAAATAAAAATTTACCTTAACGACCTTAACGGCTGAGTACTTGGCATACTATAGACATACTATAGACATACTATGGACATACTATACTTGGCACAGAGTATAGTATGTCTATAGTATGCCACAAGACAAAAGACTGGGATTAGTATCTTTGGGCTTTATTCTAGATAAAAATTAAAATAAATTGACCCCTGTGCGACAATCTCGAGCTCTTGTGTCCTGTAGTGATAAAGAAAAAGAAAAGAAATACACGCAATGGCAAAAAGAACTCTCAAACGGCCATTGCTCATCAACGACATCACCCAAAAGACATCTGAAATTGAAAGAGAACATTTTATGATATTCAGAAAATCATAAATAAATCATAAATCATAAATCATAATCATTAAATAAAATTACCTAAAGAATTGTTAATTTTCAGACTAATTTTCAGATTTTCATATTTGTTTCTTTTCAATAATCTTTCAAGGTTAAAGGATTTGGATGAGAAAAAGAAAGAGAAAAAAAATCATTGATTTATGCTGGATATAGGTCAAATCTTAAAAAGAAAAAGGTAATAATCGAGATTTTATTTGCGAAAGTCAAGTCAACCCGAGTACAATTTACTGTCTATTAGTAGAAAAATTGAAAGAATAATCAATAGAAATAAAATAGAAAAGATATTTAGATATTTAGCTCAAGCTTTGAGCTTATTCAGCTGAGGACTAGAAGCATCTTTTCCACAAATCTCGAGTTTCTATAACTAGAATGCAATTCTTTCCCAATACAATGTTTTTTTCTAAAAAGCAACTAAAACTACCGTAATCAAGCATCTAGTTTTCATTTGATCAACTCAATTTATAGCTATCGATTTATAGCTATCGATGAGGCACTGATCGACAAGGCACTGACAAGGCACTGATCGACAAGGCACTGATCGACAAGGCACTGAGGCACGGATCGACAAGGCACTGACAAGGCACTGATCGACAAGGCACTGATCGACAAGGCACTGATCGACAAGGCACTGACAAGGCACTGATCGACAAGGCACTGATCGACAAGGCACTGATCGACAAGGCACTGATCGACAAGGCACTGATCGACAAGGTACTGATCGACAAGGCACTGATCGACAAGGCACTGACAAGGCACTGATCGACAAGGCACTGATCGACAAGGCACTGATCGACAAGGCACTGACAAGGCACTGATCGACAAGGCACTGATCGACAAGGCACTAAAGGCACTGTCGACAAGGCACCGACAAGGCACTGATCGCAAGGCACTGATCGACAAGGCACTGATCGACAAGGCGATCGACAAGGCACTGATCGACAAGGCACTGATCGACAAGGCACTGATCGACAAGGCACTGATCGACAAGGCACTGATCGACAAGGCACTGATCGACAAGGTACTGATCGACAAGGTACTGATCGACAAGGCACTGACAAGGCACTGATCGACAAGGCACTGATCGACAAGGCACTGATCGACAAGGCACTGATCGACAAGGTACTGATCGACAAGGCACTGATCGACAAGGCACTGACAAGGCACTGATCGACAAGGCACTGATCGACAAGGCACTGACAAGGCACTGATCGACAAGGCACTGACAAGGCACTGATCGACAAGGCACTGATCGACAAGGCACTGATCGACAAGGCACTGATCGACAAGGCACTGATCGACAAGGTACTGATCGACAAGGCACTGATCGACAAGGCACTGACAAGGCACTGATCGACAAGGCACTGATCGACAAGGCACTGACAAGGCACTGATCGACAAGGCACTGATCGACAAGGCACTGATCGACAAGGCACTGATCGACAAGGCACTGATCGACAAGGCACTGATCGACAAGGCACTGATCGACAGGCACGATCGACAGGCACTGATCGACAGGCACTGATCGACAAGGCACTGATCGACAAGGCACTGATCGACAAGGCACTGATCGACAAGGCACTGATCGACAAGGTACTGATCGACAAGGTACTGATCGAAAAATCGAATGGAATTGGATCGAATGGAATTGGATCGAATCGATTTGGATCGAATCGATTTGGATCGAACGGAAATGGATTGAATCGAATTGGATCGAACGGAAATGGATCGAACGGAATTGGATCGAACGGAATTGGATCGAATCGAATTGGATCGAATCGAATCGAATCGAATTGGATCGAACGGAATTGGATCGAATTGAATTGGATCGAATCGAATTGAATCGAATCGAATCGAATCGAATCGAATCGAATTGGATCGAACGGAAATTGGCGGTTTGATTACGATAGGTTTCGAAAATAGATGCCTTTTAGAAAACGTTAACCCAAATAAAATGAAAAAAAAACGTTTATTAAAAATGATTGATTCGAATTTGGGAGAGAAAAAAAGAAAGAGAATTTTTATGGGGAAAAGAGTGACCAAAAAAAAGCGAATGACCTTTGTTTCGTTCTTTTTTAACATTCTTTTTTGCTTTTTTCCTATAAAATGCCAAATTGTCATTTACTTTTGGTCTTTTGCGCTTCTCAAAATCGGACATCGTTTGAATTTCTTTTCTCATAGATATTTAGGGAATCGAGCTTTAACTTAACCAACTGTGATACTGTGGTAGAAAGCTAATTGGCAAAGCTTACTGTGGTAGAAAGCTAATTGTAAAGCTTTTACAGGATCCTTACCATCATTTTTAAATGTAAATTCAAATTTATTACATGTATTCCCCAGTCGAAAAAGCAAAAAAAGTTATGCTGCAGCGGGGTTCGAACCCTCGACACACCGCACCGGAGACAGCCGTCAATTTGTATGCGAAAACCAAACAGAAATTATACTCGCGACTTTAGGGTAGTTAATAATGATTTTTCTAAGTTAAAATTTAAGAAATAAATGCAAATTACATGTTTAAGGTGAGTTTTTCCGCACTCTTTTCCCTTTCACACGACTCAGCTAAGTGCTCATAATCCGCAAGGGGGGTTTAAGAGAAAGGCTTAGTCAAGGGGTTTCGAAAATAGATGCCAAGGCGTTTTCTTATCTTTCTTGCTAGAGAAACATTCAAAAACATTGATGAATCGGAAATGAATAGAAAAAGAAATAAAAATGAAATAAAGTTGGCTATATTAAATTAAATAAAGTTGGCTGTACCAATATACCATTCATTTTCAGCTTAAATGACTTAAAAAGGTCGAATTAGAAGCAAAAATAGTAGAAATATTTAAAAATGGATGAAATTTGTAAAGTGGGTAAGCGGAGGGGAGAGCTTCTTCGTGGAAAGGGTTTAGTTGGAAAAGGGAAGGGAAAAGAGGATCGACGTGAGGAGAACGAAGGGAAATTTGATTTCAATTGGGGTTCCCTCGATTCCCCTTTCTTCCCCTTTCTTCCTCTTTCTTCCTCTTTCTTCCTATTTCGTCAATCTTTTAATTTTCATAAGCTTTCGCCAGGATTGGGCTATGAGAATGAAAAAAAGAAAAAAGCAAGTTGTTAATCGTTAAATGAAATGGGTTGCGCTATTTCCTGTAAACAACAATATAAAGTAATCTTGAAGAATCTCAAAATCTTGAAGAATCACTGCTAATGCTGTAGCCTAGCCATGATACAGTAACTTAGATCTATTTAGGTGGAAAATACAGTAAATTGAACAGCAGACAACCTACAGTAACTTTGGAGCTTAAGGGTGGTTGTTAAGTGTTAGTGTTAAGTTGCCAAAGAAACCAGCCAGGCTTTCCCCCCTCCGTTTTTTATTTCATTTTTTCAACTACTTTCAAAAATGCCTTTTAAAAAACTCGTAATCCACTATGTGGACATGCTTATAATCCGCTGATTTTCTAAAGAATTTATTTAAAAAATGAATTAAAGCAAATTGAAGAAGTTATTTAGCTCTAGAAGATTTGAAAAATGAATTTAAAAGAATTCAGAAAGTGTTCAGGATGTGAGATGTTCAGGATTCGAATCTCAAAACTCAAGAAAAGTTGAAGATCATAGGTTACAAGTTAAGCATTGAAGATCTTTCTACTAATCTCAAAGCAGTCAGAATTTTTCATTTTCTATTTCTTATAGTCTGTAGTGCATTCTATTTTATGCCCCATCGAAAAAGGGAGCGAACAATCCGAGAAAGAGTCGCCCAATTGATGTGCACGATTGTCACCGCAGCGTCGCGTGTCTGTGAGAGGGCAGGGCAGCCAAGGACACAAAAGAATCAAGAAAAGAAGAGTTTCTTCGATGCGGAGAGAGCGCAGAGAAACATTCGGTTCTCTGCCATCCAAGAGAGCACCGAGACATAGATCTAAAAAGAGCAAAGGGTGCGAAATGGTGCAAACCATCCTTTTAAAAGCGATTTTCTAATTATAAAGTGGTCTATAGTTGGGAGTTGGATATCAAGTTCGATTTATCCTCTAGTTCCAAATGTTGACTGTGCAAGTCTAGACTTGGCTCTTGGGGGTAAGCGACGCACTCGCCACGCGCGCTCTCCCCGCCCCTTTGCCTGTTTTTCTCGCAAATGTCCCTCGTTTTTCAAATTCACGTGTTTATTTTGGTTTTTTAAAAATGATGAGCTTTTCTTTTCTTCTTTTAAGCAAAAAAGGTCATATCGATTTTTGCCGTCTTCTTCATTTTTTTGCGCGGGGAAAACGGCGCGCAAGTTTCGCCCCGTCTTTGCCCTTTTCTTTTCATTTCTTTCGCTACTTGACGCTCTTTTTCATTTTTTTTGAAAATTTTTTATTAATAAGTACTAGTTCTATAGTTTATCTTAAAAGATTTAAATTTTTAAACATTACATAAAAGTTTACATCATCGGTAAATGTAGAGTGAAAGGATTGTATGTTGCATAAAATGCTATAGAGGCTATAGAGGCTTAAAATCCTATAGAAATAAAGGTTTATTGTAGAGATTATAGATAAAATCTAATAAAATCAATCTTCTCTAATTTCTCTAAAGATTAGAAAGCCATGGTTTACGATTTTGAAAGTTTTAAACTCTTGTATGTAACTTAAAATGAGCAAAATGATTAACTAGCAATTAACCAGTTTCCATAGAACTCCGTTCTGCAATTCCATAGAAGTCCATATGCAAAAAAATCCACGGAAGCAATTTCTATACAATTTGACGAAACTTTCTCCCAAATCTTATTGGTCGCTAGAGTGAAGGGATCAAAAATCCATCGATTAACCCCAACTTTCTACCGTTCCACTCCTCATTGTCACCCATGCCAATCTCTCTTTCCCGCTTTCTTTTCTAAACATCGGCCAAGTGCCAATATGTCTCCTCCAACAATGCCTATATATAGCAGTTTTGCTTGTTCTTTCGCTTTATCAGCACCACCAACCCGCTTCTTCGACACTTTCTCTCTCTGCTTTGCTCCACATTTTTTCGCGTTGCTCCCTCGCGAAGTGTTCACCTGATTTTTCTTGAGCTAACTTTTCTTAAGGAAATTCGATTATCGATATTTATCGATTTTGTGTCGCTTTGAAAATTTCTAACATTTCATTCCGATTTTTGCAGACCGTGCGGTGCTAGGTGCGGCGCGTATGAGTGTCGCACTCACCGTGTCGACTACAATTATTAACGAAAGTGAATTCCCGTCCCTCGTCAATCGAGGTTTGTCACACGAAAAAGTAGCAAAAACGTTTCTTTTTACGATCCCGGGAGCTGGAAAATCAATAAACTGGCCACTCGGAGTCGTAAAAAGCTGGTTCAATATATCACATTTCACTATAAATTCATGCCAATTTTTAAAAACCGATATTTTAGGGACGCCCGGTGCCTTCCCGAATTTGCCCACAACTAGCGCCTACTCGTCATCAAATCATCAATCACCCGTACCGCCTGGCTATGTGCAAAACAATAGGCCGAACTATGGTTTGTTTAAATAAAAATAATTCCACCAACTAAATTCTTCAATTTCTACGCTTTAACATCATGATCAAAATTGTAAAATAAAAAAACAAAATATTAGGTTGGAAAGAAAGTTCTCGGAAAAAGTTTGCAGCATGACTTTTCAGAACCACCTATTTTAGCAAACACTCAGTGCCAAGAAGATGACACTAAAAAATTCTTGGTGATTTCTCGAAAACCAAGCCATCAATTCTTCCCAGATTTTTTGATAAACTTGACTATATTTCAAAAAGTTTTTGACAAAAAAATCAGAGTGGGCTCCAGGTAAAAAATAAGAGATTTCTTCAGCTGAATTGACTTGGTCACTTTTTGAGCGACCAGCCTTTACACAAGTTTTTAATGGGTTAATGAATAGGCAATGGGTCCCATTCAAAACCTAAAATGAAGTACTTAAAATAGGGAAAGTTTGTGATAAAGACAAATTTAATCTAATGCTTTTGACTTTTCAGAATCACCTATTTTAGCAAACACTCAGTGCCAAGAAGGTGACACTAAAAAATTCTTTTTTGAAATACAGCTTCTCTGTAAAAAAATTTGTTTGGCCAAAAAGAGATTATAGAGATTATAGAGCGTATTGCTCATTTATACTAGCTTTACCTCATAAGGAATCGTTTTTCTGATGCAAAAAGTGAGCTGAAAGCTTAAGCTGGAAAATAAGGATCTTTCAAAAATCTTGAAATTTTAAGGGAAAGCTGCACTCATCTTTTTTTTACGAGTAATTTCTTGGAGTCGACTTGTAAATAATAGAACAAAATGTTCTTGAATCGGTGGATTCGTTTTTAAGAAATTCCAGTCTAACTTTTTCCGAGAACTTTCTTTCCAACCTAATATTTAGAAAAAAAACGGAAAAAAATTAGAAACAAATGTTTAGCTAAATAGTTGCCAATTAATAAAGACCTAGAAACAAAAATATTCAGTTAAGTGGTGGTATATAAATACCGCAAAAGCTCTAATAAAAGCAATCATTTTTTTCTAAGCGCTGGTTAATGCTGAAAATGTGTGTTATATCTCATATTTGAAAGTAAACTTAGGCTACGCGACGCTCCTATAGGGGGCCCTTCTATTAGAGCTTTTACGGTAGTTTAGGGGGTGGGACAAATGCTATCTTTTTTGCGCACCTGGACATTTGTGCACTTTTTTTCGCTGGAAAACGCCTTAGGAAATGCCGTAGAGCTTAAAAAATGTTTCCATATTGGGGAATCGTATGCGTAGATTCCGAATTTTGAGAAATCACACCTCGCGGACAGGTCAAATTTGGGTTAAAAGGCAAAAACTGCGATAAAGCGCTAAGTTGCGTAGTTTTTGCCTTTTAACCCAAATGTTGACATGTCGGCGAGGTCTAATTTGTCGAAATTCGGAATCTAAAGATACGATTCCCTTACATGAAAACATTTTTGAAGCTCTACGGCGTTTTCTAAGGCCTTGTCCAGCAAAAAAGGTCGCATTTGTCCCACCCCCACTTTGCGCTTTTTAGTTTCCTCCAACGTTTTTGTTTTAGTTGCACCCGCATTCTCTGTATTTTTTAAGCATTTGTAAATTTTAAATCATTTAAGTTAAAGTCAACAATATTTAGGTAGTAAACAAGGCACTTTTACTATTTCATACGAAACTTGTTCGGCCTCATTTACGAAACATTTCCATTACATTTTTTTCTTGCCTAAATTGATTGCTAATTAATTTCTTGCATTTCAGCGAATCTAATGCGAAGCGGGAGCGAGGGGCTCGGAAATAGCGGGGAATTCCACATACAATCCGAGGATTTCCCGGCCCTGCCAGGAGCGACAAGTTCTTCAAAGGTGGCGTCAGCTTTCGTGGGTGGTATCGGACCTTTGCAAGCATCCGATTCGGCTACGCACGCACAAACAGTGGTAGTTTTGGATATACATTTCTTGAATTTTTCTGTTTTAGATGCAGCTGACGACTGAAATGGTAAATTCAACAACTGAAGGAAGGTACGTGGAGCAACAACGGGAACGAGATGAAGGCTCGATTCGAACCGGAATCATCACTCATCCCGATGGTAGGTTTAAGGGTTGATTGTTCTAGAATATTTAGCAACGCATTGTCTTATTTAGGCGAGGTGTCGAACATCCCACCTGGGATGCTCAATGATCAATATGGGATGGCCGGACTTGTGACGTATCTTCGAGCCGTTGACAACCCTGCAATTGTTGCTTTGGCTCTTGGGCATGATCTTACGACGCTTGGCTTAAATCTGAACGCTCCAGAGTAAGTGTATTTTTATTAAAACTTAGTTATGGCTTTAGTTCTCTAGTATTTTTTTCTTCAAAGTAGATCGCTAGTCTTTATTCATTTTTAGTCGAATGCTCTACTCAACATTTGGAGGACCTTGGGCTGATTATCCGTGTCGAACTCAAGATATGGATGCAAAAGTAAATTCGATATGGTTTAATGTCTTTATGCTTTCATTATAGGTGCCCGTTGAGTATCTCACAAATGCAACAATACGAGACAAGCTTCCAAATATCAAATTGCAGAAGTTGGGGGAAGACGTGCTATTCTACCTCTTTTATAATTGTCCGGGTGAAGTTTATCAAGTAGCAGCCGCTGTAGAATTGTAAGTGAAATTTTCTCTCGGTCCAAACTCGCTGTCTTTCTCAGGTATTCACGGGATTGGCGGTTTCATAAAGGCGAATGTGTTTGGTTAACGAGATCTCAATATGGAGGTGTGAAGGAGCAAACGGGAAGTTATGAGAAAGGCAGCTACAATGTTTTCGATCCAATTCAATGGAGAAAGGTATCTTACTTCAGATTGGTTGTTTAGCTTCTCTCAAACCAAAACGACTAATGAGTTTACGTTATTTTAGATTCCAAAGGACATGACGTTAGAGTACAAGCAGTTAGAGGAACGGCCGAAATTACCAGCCTCGCTTCAACTTGGTGTCAATGGGGGGACTGCAAGCACACAACCAGCTTCAACTAACTCAATGGCTCCAGGGAGTGTTCCGGTGAGTTTGCTTTCCTGCTAGCTTTTTTCTTATGGATTCTTTAGTTGCCTTCCACGTTGTAAGAAATTCTTATTCTCCATAGAAATTTAGTGGAAATTTTATACAAAATGTTTTGGTATTTCCTTCAATTCGTAAATACAGGGTGTGGCATATATAGTTGTTGCGCTTAATGCATCTTTTTGGCTTTCTAAGATAATACATTAGCCTAAGCTGAAAAACAACAATTAATCATAAAATCTGCGCGTAATTTTACATAGAATAGAAGAATTGTAACATTTTTCTAATGACTTTGACAACTCAAGCCGAGCAGTGCAAAAAATGCTATGCGTCATGATGATGATACTGGAAAACAGTTAAATCCGAGTTTGGGGTATCTAGAAACTCGTATTTTTCTGCATTAATACGTTTTTAGAGTTAGTTACTATAAAATTAGTGCAGCAGTCACGTTTAAAGTCTTGTATGAAACGAATGAAGTTTTAAATTTAGTGAACAACTCATGAATCTAGTGAAAAAATGTCCGTAGATTTTAAACATCTAAACGAAAAAACCGTCAACTTTTGAGGTTTTTGAGAAAATCATCCTTTTGTAGAGCGCAACATTATATATGCCGCACCTTGTAAAATTATTCTTTGATACTTTTAGTTTTATAAGCTTTATAACTTGGATACCATGATTTATGTAATAAATAATTTCTAATATTTCGTCGGATGGTGGATACAAAGTTATTGCTGATATACTGAACTACCACCGATATCGACATTGATGTCGGACTGCCACTGATACTAAATCACATTCATGCAATCCAATGTTAATCAACTACTTGCTTCGTTCTTTTTCACGGGCTCTACTCAGTTATTCGTGCTTGTGCTTTTGTTTCGAACAAAGCATCATTTCAAAACTGAGGACCGAAGAAAAACTCCTTGCCTTTTTTACCAACAAATCCTTGATAATACTTTTTTGCCCTTCCAATGCCGACTCTACTAAAGACACTCATAAGTGATGAAACTAATGATTCATTCAATCCCCATCGATCTTCAGCCACGCTCAACAATGTGTTTTTTCCTATTCCAAATGTATTTCCTCCAAATTTAGATAATTGTGAACATGGCTTAACAAAAACACTCACAATAGCACTTATCGAAATTATTTATTTAGTTGTCTTCCTCACCGACTGCCCCTGGCTCTGGACAGCCACCGCAACTCTAGTACTAGTCGCACTTCAAATGTACAACAAATGCTACCTTGGTTGGTTTTGATCTCTACCAAACATCTTTAAAGATCGACCATATAAAAACTGACATTATTTCAGAGTTGTCTTTGGCGAGGTACCGGTGCGTAAACATCTGATCTTTCTTCATTCATATTGCACCTTCTCAAGTCATTATCAACGTTGTTATGTGTATGATTGTATGTAATAAAATTTATTTTGCTAGTTTAACGCTAATATTTACTCCACATGGACTCGGACAGGAAAACTAATAGGAGTGCGGGCAAAGAATAAATCCCTGGAAAATCGAGTTGGTTGAGGAGCAGAATCCGAAAGTGGCACCACATCAACTGAGAGATTGCAAGCACAAGGCCCCACCGGAAGAGACAGCTCGATCTAGAATGGCATGAAACGACTGTTCAAAACTGAAAAGTCTTACATTTTCGCTCTTTGATGGTTCGACAATTCCGCAAAATGGGGTTGCATCCAATCCATCGAGCATATCAGCTGTAAATATACTGTAGGCATAGATTTGCGTCATGAATTACCTTTGATTGCAAACAAGATTACGACATCAAGGGTGTTGTGTAAACGCAGCGTCTGTGGATACGGATGAAAACCGTTGGCTCGAATCTAAAGTCATTCGGTTTCAAAAGAATTTTTAACAAAACCTCAATAGGCGTTTGTTTCAAAATGTGTCCCATAACAATATCGTAGGCTTTGCCAAATCTTTTATATAATGAATAGTCGCCCCATGGAGTGGCCGTCTAAAACTTGATAAACATCAAAAATATTAAAGACAATTACGTGAACAGTGAATTGGCTCAATTCGTTGGTATAAGACTCGAGAAGTGCGTCCTCAATGCAGTCATGTTTTGTGTAGTGTTCCTTGAGCGTAATTTCAGAAGCAAGAACTGATGGTGGATCCGTAAACTAAAACAAAATAAATAAAAAAAATAACTTCGCAACATACGATTCTAGCACTTCCAACTAGTGTATTACAATTTTCAGCCAGAGAAAGTGTCGTGTCGCGAGTGTCTTTATCACTTTCCGAATTTTTCACTTTAACGTCTTTCACATTGTTTGCTTGCTAAACTTTTTCAATACAAAAATGTAATTTAAAAGTTACCTTTGAGGGGTGATGACGAGAAAATGGGATGTCGTTGTTTGAGCGTCTCGATTTTTAAAGCAATGTAGGCAAGAAGTAGGCAGAGATGGAGCTAAAAAGATAAAATTGATTATCTAATTCAAAGATTTACTGCTTCTAAAACGAAAAAGCCAGTAAGATGTTCAAGCAAGGGAGTTCCGAGAAGGAACAGCACTTTTCCAGCCCAATGCCAAGTGATGAGTTTCTAAAAGGAAATTAAACAATAAACAAAATTAATGTTTCCAACCCTGATTGTCCCGTCATGAAGAAAATCTGCGGCTTGCACTGTCACAAACACAGCTGGAGTGAGAGTTAGAAACTGAATTTGTATAATGTTACCTAAAACTTTTGCAAAAATTTACCTCACAGAGTTGTCGAGCGTTTGCCCCATATGTGAGATACAACGAGATTGCGCCGATAGCTGCCCCAACACAAAGCCATTCTTTAACTAAAAATAAATTGTACAGCAAGTGCATGCGGCTCAAATTAGAGACAAGAAACATAATAACATACCGCTCGCCGGTTTGGTCCGAAGCAATTTCAGTTCGAGCATAAGGCCAAATCGAATGTCGCAAGTATACAAAATGACTCATTTTAAGCGAAGCTTTCATTTAAGACGAACGGCGAAAAATTCGAATGCAAATTTTGGTGCAAAGCAAACCATACACAACATGGATTGCTAAAGTACGCCCTACACCCAATGTCGGTGATTTTGTCTGGCGCGATTGTCTTACGGTAACAAAATCCTTTTTGGCACGGAAAAAATTCATTTTTAACTTGCTCCTTTGTGCTTTCGGAATTTGTTAACCATGTTAGATTGTTAGAAGTTTTTTCACATTTGATCAAAAAAGTATCCCATTAGTTAATCAACCCTTCTTGCTTTTCTCTGTTTTACATTCTCTGTTTTACTTTTCTCTTTCATTGTGTCGAAGCGATGTTTCATTTTTAAAATTTAGCCAGAAGGGTAACAGAGATGGCACCAAAGGCCGAAGCTCCAGCCGCCGCTGCTCCCAAGAAACAGGTTAGTAGGACGCTCCGGAGCCGGGCTAAGATGGGTGACTTTTGTCGCTCGGAGCCTGTGTAAAGAAGGAGTTTTCCTACTTGACACTCGCTCGCTCGGCTAGGTTTTGTTTTTTACTAGGGTTGATTTGGTTTTGTTAAATTAAAGTTTATTTTCTTTTTTTAGAAGAAGAATGCCGAGAACATCAACTCGCGGTTGACGATGGTGATGAAATCCGGCAAGTACGTGCTCGGCTACAAGGAGACCTTGAAGAACCTCCGCAACGGAAAGGCCCAGCTTGTCCTCATCGCAAAGAACACACCTCCAATCAGGTAAAAGCTTTAATTTCTTAGTATTTTTGCCACGTAGCGTTGGAAATTCTACTGGCTGTAAGCAAAAAAAAAAAAGAATATATCTAGGTCGAACTAATTTTTTGTTTTTAGGAGATCAGGAGATTGAGTACTACGCCATGCTTGCCAAGACTGGAGTCCATCATTACAACGGAAACAACATCGAGCTCGGAACCGCCTGTGGAAAACTCTTCCGCGTTGGAACCCTCGCTATCACAGACCCAGGAGACTCTGACATCATCAGAAGCATGCCAGCTGAGACCGCCTAAGTTTTGTTTGTTGTTATTCATGGTTAAATAAATTGTTTCACTCTGTAACGTTCTAAAATTAAAATACAATGACGAAGCTGAGACTTTGAATTACAAAATCACAAAACTCATTACTTCGAAGGAAAGCAATGTATTTCGGAGGAAGAGCTCTGGATTAATGACAGACAATCTTGGAAAAGTTTTGCTGCTGAATCTGCTATTTTTTTGTGCATTCCTATATTTGGGAAATTCGGAGTTTTTGAAAACTAGCTGTTGCCAAATGTTTTTTCCAATTTTCCCAGGGGTTCAAAATAATGATTAAGTCTCCAATGGCAACAACTGATTGGCAGCTGGAAAATTTTGGAGAAATAGCTTCATTTACAGCTAGCTAAAATCATGGGTGTGCTTGAGCCGGAAGATTCTGTAAGATTCTTGTGTTTCTAGACTTGTCATATTGCCCTTTAGGAAGAGTTCGATCGAATTCTTGAGGAGAATGCCTCCAGTCTCGTCGTCATCGATTTCTTTGCAACATGGTGCGGTCCCTGTAAGATTATGGGACCGAAATTCAACGTAGCTCTTTTCCGTAAAAGAATATTCTAATTTATTCAGAAAATGTCTAACGAGTTCACTGATGTGATTTTCGTGAAGGTGGATGTAGACGAGAATGTTTGTTTCTATGCACTGGGCTAGATAATTTCAATTTTGTAGGAGGATATCGTCTCTCGTTTTCAAATCAATGTCATGCCTACATTTATATTTATGAAAGGCGGCGAACAAATTGTAAGTTAAAACTTCTAAGGCAGAATTATAATATTTTCCAATTAATGAATTTGCAAATTGTAGGACTCTGTCGAGGGGTCAATGGAGGATCAACTTCGGCAAAAATTATCAGCGAATCATTAACTTGACAAAAACTACATAGTCTTATCTATACTAAATTAAGTAAATCCAAATACTTTCATCCTTTTATATGCAGTTTATGAAAAAACTTGAAACAACCTGAATTTTCTTTATCATGTTAGGAAATAAATAGTACATACTTATATCTACCAATACATACAGGAGAAACCTCAAAACTAGCGAAATGTACACAACTAAAAAGCTGACAATGAATTGGGAAACAATCACGACTAAAAAAAGATTGGGCAAACAAATATTGACCAAGAAAACGGCAAATGGCAAAAGAGGGGGGAGACATTGGGTTGGACATAGATTTTTTTTTTTCGAAATTTGAATAATAGACGAATCGAGACACATTTTCTCATGGCAAAAACAGAAAATTTGGCAAAAAGTAATACCTAGAGGTTTTCACAAGAAGAATCCTTTGGAAATGAATTTTTTTTTCTCGCGAAAAGAACACAGACTAATGACCCTAGTAAGAAATTCACAGTGGTAGAGAACACAAACGGAAACCCCAAATAATGGGGAAAATGAGGGAGAAATAAAAAAGGATTTTTCTAGCCATCATTTCTCCTAAACTAAAAAGCAGATGAAAGCCAAATTCTTGACTAACTGCGGTAACTACAAATGGCTAAGGCCCAACAATATTCTCTAATCGGAAAATTCTCTAATCGTTTCTAATTGAAGCTGTACAAAGAGTTTCCAATAAGCACCACAAATCACAAAAATTATCAAAAAACAAAAAGAATACTGTTTTTGGAAACGTTTTTTTTTTAAATTTTTTATAGATTTTATAGATTTTGCACTTTACTTGAGCACTAGAGTTGGAAAAAAAAAGATTGTTTTGATTAACACGTTGACGACTTTTTCCCCTTTTTTCTTCCTGACACATATTCGCTCCCTGGGACATTTGCCACCTGATGCATAAACAACGTTGTCCCATGCATTTTTGTGAAAACGCCATTAGGAAAGTCGTAGAGCTTCGAAATTAATGATCAAAATGATCGGGATTCCCATCCCATGCGTTAACAGATTCATTTTCCATCAGACCCGCTATTAAAGTCAAGTTAGCGTATTTCTTCGAATAGAAAGACCGGGTAAAGAGTTATGATCGCGTACTTTTTGCGTTGCAGCCCTTTTTAAAATTTCTTTCTGCATAAAAGCTTTCAATGACGTTCAAAGAGGGCTGGAAAATTACGCAAAAATCTGTTAGCTCATGTGGTATTTTTTGGTCATTTTCCGATTCCCGAAAATCTTGTCTAGCGCGCTGAGAATACCGTTTTTTATAGGTGGGCTGGGAAGGACGCTTTGGTGCACGGAGGGCTCTGGTCTAGCAATGAAGAAGGTCGCAAAGTTCCCCCGGTGCTGCCAATTAGTGCCAATTTTTTTGTCGTTTCTTTTTTAAGTTTCTTTCTGCACAAAGAGCTTTCAATAAGTACTAAAGAACAAAAAATTACTCAAAAATACCAGAGAGCTAACTGTTTTTGGAAACGTTCTTAGCACTTATAGATTTTGGGCTTTTATGGAGAAATTAGAGCGCTTGGAAAAAGCGCTCGTCGCGACTACTTTACCCCGGTCTTCTATTCGAAGAAATACGGTAAGTTAATGATGAAAATGATCGGGATTTCCCATCTCATCAGCTGCTATCGATGAATGGTAGTCGTCCAGGGAATCGTCTCGACTCCGAAGTGGAGCCGAGAGGAAAGCTTGACCGCGACGAGAACGATCTCGGACTTCTTGACAAGCGCGGAAGATTCGACACGATGAGCCGCCGCTGAATTGGGAAAAAATTACCGAATACTTTCAGTTAGGCTTGTATCAAAGATTGTTAAAAAGCCGAAATAAACCTCTCACCTTACTCCACATTGCCTCAACTCCTCCCTTGTCACATATTCAAGGAGATCCGATTTTGAATACCTGAAAAACTTGTGTGTTTGATTAAAATCATCTCCTATTTACCCCTCCCGTAAAACACATTGAATTGAGTGATCATCAACGTCGAGACTTCTCAACCAAGAGACTACTTCTTCGGTTGATCTAGAACGATTCACAGGATTAAAAAAGTATTCTTTTTATTATTTGGCCCTTATTGGCGACTCTTTGTGAAGCTTTAAATTGACAAATGGCTGGCTGGTTAAGAGTCTTGTCCGCTAACCGGAAGGTCGATACTACTTCGATGGGGTTCGATTCCCGGTGGAAAGGAAATAACTTTTTTCCCTGTGTATGGGTTTTTTCTTACCAACATTTGGGTAATAGAGATTGTGTGTTGAGTTGTGTCTATTCTATTGTGTCTTGTGTCTATTGTTCGTGTTGAATAAATAGATTACCGTAAATACTGTAATTGGACCCCATGGGGTACATTTTTTCCCTCCCCCTCTAGGGTGGGGTACTATTGGGGGGGCGTACTATTAGAGGGGCGTACATTAGGGGGGTACTATTAGAGGGGGTACTATTAGAGGGGGTACTATTAGAGGGGGTACTATTAGAGGGGTGGGGTCCAATTACAGTATTTAAGTATTTACGGTAAGTGGGCGGTGGGACAAATGCGATCTTTTTTCGCTGGAAAAAGCCGTAGAGCTTAAAAAATGTTTCCATATTAGGGAATGGTATGCGTAAATTCCGAATTTCGACAAATCAGACCTCGCGGGCAAGTCAAATTTGGGTTAAAAGACAAAAACTACGCAAATTAGCGCTTTTCGCTTTTCGCCGAAGTTTTTGCCTTTTAGCTCAAATTTGAATTAAATTCCTATGAAGTACGGTATGATTCGAGTATTAGTCTACAATCAGTGAAAGATTGTAGACTATAGTATGCCAGCTGGAGTCATCACTAAATATCTTGACGTTTCGTTTGGAACTTTGAAAGATGAAAGTCAAATTCTTGACTAACTGCGGTAACTACAAATGGCTAAGACGCAACAATATCTTTAAAATGATTGTAGAGCTCTAGCATTATGCCAGAATGAATATTATGCTCTAGTATAATGCCAGAATGCCAGAAGTCAGAAGAAAGCCCTCAGGAATCAAGACTGAATATCATATCTTTTGCAAACCGTGAACCAACCTTGGCACGGATGTCCTCGGCGATGATCCATTGCTGATTGGTTGAATTGATTGAGTCGATCCTCCATTTGTCAATCCATTCGGAAGAGTTGAAAGTGATGGCAATTGAGAGATCATCAATTCTGGAAAACAAATCCCTGATAATTAAATCTGATTTCCAAATTTCCAAACCCGGTCTCTCAGTGAATTCCTTCAAATTCGCAATTTTTCTTTTCTTATCAGTGATGATGATTTGGAGTAAAGTGTTCAATTCTTTCTCCACTTCGAGTAAGCTAAATTTTGGATTTGATTTTGAGTGAAATTTTGAGGCTTTACTGATCAAATAGTTGTTTATTATCATCATGGACTCCTCGTATGTTTTCTCGTTTTTCTCGAACGACTGTTGACTCGAAAGCTGGTGGAGCTGATGGAGGGCGGCTATCCGTTGCATCACCTAGAATTGTTGGCTTGGAAATTGATTGGTTGAAGATTTTTGCGATTTCAAAATCGATTTGCGACTTTAACTTTAAAGAAAATTTGATAAAGGGTACAAGCGTACAAATTTGATAAAGGGTACTTTATCGATTAGCGTACAAGACTGAGGTGGTCAAATGAAATGAGCCAGAGTTTGTTTTAAAGTTGTCGAAGCTATACTTTTGTGGAAGATGTAATGCTAAATTATGTTTCATAGATTATAACATTGTGTTAATTCTTGTTATTTTGTTCGTGATCAATTCAAAGATGTCACTACTTATTGTAAAGTTAAAATAGAGCGAATTCGAGCGGTTAAACTTCAAAATAAGATGAAAACAAAAGGTGGGGATCGAACCCGAGCAAAGCCTTGAAGTCTAGCTTTGGAAACAAGTGTCCTATCCACTATATGTTTAAATATGTGAATTCAATCTTACCTTCACTCACGGCACTGTCTCGGCTAACAGACGGCCGTTGACCGGTCGCCGTCGATGATGGGGTCGCGGCTACGTCGTGAACCTGAAATTCGAAACTATTTACCTTTCTTTTTTATTTTATTTACTTATTTCTTTACTATTTTTATCATCCATAATAGCACCACTCACCTGTAAGACAGCCGACAAATCAGGGCTCAAAATTTGCACGGCAGCCTGCACAGCTGATCGGATGAGATTATCCAGAGCGAACATCCTGAAGGAATGGATTTTGATTTTGATTTTTATTTGATTTTGGCTCTAATTAGAAAGACAATTATAACTAATTCTTATTATCTAATTATGATAATTTTTTTTTAAATCAACTAAAAATCGAACCAATGGGGTTTGATGATTTGTTTCCGTAGCACTGGCTGCATTGCATCTGAGAAGGCGTACAGAGCGAGATTGATCTAAAATGTTTAGGTTTTTGTTTAGGTTTTTGTTTAGGTTTCTCTGTAATGTTTGTATATGTCGTAGCCGATTCTGAATGAGTGGATCTAGGCGCGTCCAACCATCAAGTCTTTGGTATCATTCAACGCAGAATCATTGATAATTATGTTCAATTTTTTAAATTAGAAAGATTGGATAAAAAGAGAAAAAATTACGGGGTTTCAAAGTTTTCTCTCGAATAAACAGTTTTTTTGCTCTAATTTTTTTCTTTTCATTAAATATTACTAATTTAACATAATTATTTAAATTGTTGAATGATACCAAAATTAGTTTAAAAATTGCGGGCGCTACAACGTTTTACTCAAAATCGGCGGGACCTCCGTAACCTCCGTAACCGATTATGAATGAGTGGATCTCGAGGCGTTGGTTACCAAATACTTGATGGTTGGACGCCTCGAGATCCACTCATTCATAATTTAAAAATTGCGGGCGCTACAACGTTTTATTCCAAATCGGCGGGACCTCCGTAGCCGATTATGGATTTTAACTGATTATGGATTTTAGCTGATTATGAATTCCAGCCGATTATGAATGAGTGGATCTCGAGGCGTCCAACCATCAAGTATTTGGTAACCAACGCCTCGAGATCCACTCATTCATAATCGGCTGAAATTCATAATCAGCTGAAATTCATAATCAGCTGAAATCATAATCAGCTGAAATCCATAATCAGTTAAAATCCATAATCGGCTACGGAGGTCCCGCCGATTTTGAATAAAACGTTGCAGCGCCCGCAATTTTTAAACTAAACTCACAAATTTGATATCAATCGACGCAGAATTGAATTCGCTACGAAATTTTATAAAATTGTCCTCATGCATTAAAGGCACTCGCTCTAGAAAGGTTTTCCAAAAAAAATTCATTCATAATCGGCTACGACCTTATACATAAAATTCTAGAATTCAGAATTTTTGGGGTATCTTTTTTTTTTGCAAACCTGTGAAACGGATGTCGGCTCATAGTCGAGTTGATGACGAATCTCGTTCAGAGCGTCCTAAACGACAAATATTATTTGAAATTTCTGTAAACTAGTCAAAATTTCAAGAATTTTCAATAAAATACAGTTTATGGATTATTTATGGATTTATGAATTTATGGATGCCTCTTTTAAAGGGGAGGTAGTCAAATGAGCGCCAACAATTGGGCGCCAATCATTTCAGCGCCAACGATTTGGCTCACGCTTATTTCGGCGCCACTCATTTGAGCGCCGTGCCAAAAATGACTGGAAAACAATCATTTGAGCGCCAAATTAAAAAGGCCTAAAAACGTTCATTTAAGCGCCGGGCCAAAAATGACTGGAAAACGTTCATTTCAGCGCGACTAAATTTTAATATTTTCTTTCTACGCTGCTTCATGTTTTTGGTTTTGCTTGTTTTTCACTTTTTTCACTCATTTGACCTAGGGCACGGTAGTAGGCATCAAATGCGCGGAAAAATTGTTAGATTAGCCGTATTAGGTTTTTTGATGAAATGTAATTGCTGTTGTGATATTTTCCCCAATAGCATGCTTTTTCACCGTTTCTTGCCGTTTTCTTACAATTTGCTTACAGTTAATAGTTCTTTGCTTAGGCTCGTGAACTGCGCAAGAAGTGGCGAGACAAAGGAACACTCTGAGTCAAAGTTTATTTGTTTGGTTTATTTTGCTGCCAAGAATTATTTTTATCTTTAGATGATTTAGATAAAAACATACAGTAAAAACTTTGAGATCATGCAGAAAATGCAAAAATAACATGCATATACAGAATGGGCTGATTCGGCGCTGAAATGAATGTTTTCCAGTCATTTTTGGCGCGGCGCTGAAATGAACGCGCGCTGAAATGAACGCGCGCTAAAATGATTGGCGCTGAAATGATTGGCGCTGAAATGATTGGCGCTGAAATGATTGGCGCTCAATTTTTGGCGCTCATTTGACTACCTCCCTTTTAAAGCCTTCAGCTTTTTTTTTCTTCCCGTCTTCTCCTTTTTAAATTTTTTATTTTAAAGTTTATTTATTTTAAAAACAATATTTACATACCGTAAATACAGTAATAGTACCCCACCGCCCTCGTACAGTCGCAAAAGTTTTTTAGTATTTCATTTTTTCAAAGCATTCGTGCTTTCAAAAAATGCCTCTTTCATATCAAAAAATTGCCCTGAATTTCAGCTATTTTTTGATACATAAACGCGCATTGTAGCATAAACCAGTGTCAATAAAATCGCGTTCAAAGCTAGACTACGCGACACTTCGGACCGTCATGATGGGGGTGGGGTACTATTACAGTATTTACGGTAAGTGTTATCATTTTTACAGCTTTCAACTCACCTGAATCTTTTCGTTATTCTTGTAGACAAGATAATCTTTCATTCCCATTAAAAGTGTCATCAACATGTTTCTGAAAAGATTTTATGATGAGGATTTGGTAATTGACGTATTGTAGTGACGTGTAGTTGGTTAACTTCTTTAGAACTTATGTTCTCTGTGCTGATTCAAGATTTTATCAAATGTCAAATGTTAAAAGAGTAACCCGAAATCTCTACTATTTCTTGATATTAAAGAATGAGATAAAATACGATCTAAGTCACGATCTAGCTCATCAAATGATGGTAAAGAAATGAATGGCAAAGAATTGAACCCTCGATCTTCTGCTTACCGGATAGCTCTACCACTGAGCTATCGATGCCTTCTTTCCTCAAGAAATAGAGAAGACAAGGAAGAGAAGACAAGGAAGAGAAAGAAAGAGAAAGAAAGATAAAGAAAGAAAGAGAAAGAAAGGAAGAGAAGACAAGTAAGAGAAAGAAAGGAAGAAAGAGAAGGTGATTTAAAATACGAGACGCTAATATAGGTAATAAGTTTTTCCTAAACTTATAGTTCAAGATTTACAGATGAAAGACCTTGTAACACATGGGCTCGATTTTGCCGTGTGCATCAGTTGAGTGAACCAAATGTTGACAATCTGAAAGTGTACAAGTTTCTGGAATGCTCTGGAATACTTTAAAACATTTAAACCCACCTCATCTTTCTCTTCATTCATGAAACGAGCCAAATAATGTCGTCTTTCCGAATCTTTCTTCAACATAAAAAAGCGTTGATGGCCTGTTTCATCGGAGATTGTGCTGGAAATATGTGAGATCATAAATGATAATCAAATATTTTGACAATGAATGCAGAAATTTTCGTTGAAAGCTATTAGAGAATATAGAAAAAAGTTTCTATACATTGATGCTGCTTAAGATGCTGCTTAAGATGCTGCTTAAGATGCTGCTTAAGATGATGCTTAAGATGATGCTTAAGATTTCGAAGATTGCTTTATTGACTTGTAACGGCTTATTTCTATTTGAGCTTTTGGTAAAAAAGTGAAATGTTTGACTGGGGTCGGATTCGAACCCTTGACGTCTCGATGCGAGCACTCGATGCGAGCACGCTAACCATTTGGCCACTGCACGCCCCGTGTGGCAAGACAAATTTCCGGTTGATATTTTGCCTATGGGGAATTAGCAACGCTATAACTTGATCTAACTGAATAAGTTGTTGAACTTTTTAGCTTTTTACAAGTCAATTTGTTCTTTCACTACATTTTTATTTTACTTGACTCTTGAGCTTCTGATTTTTAAACTAAGCTTTTCCATTTGTTTCTTATAGTCAATTAATGGTACAATCTACCAATCTTTCCTTTTATCAACGAGTCTTTGAGTGCTCTCTCTTTGAGAGCACAAAAGTTAGCTATCTAGCGCATTTCATTTGCGCTTGTGCAATCAAAAAATGGAATTTTTTCAAAAAAACACGAAAACAGCCAAAATGAAGATTTAATATAGGCAAAATCAGGGAAACATGCTTTGGTTAGCTGAAAATTTTGAGAGATTTTGGTTTCAGGAATTTGAGGAAAAAGAAAACGAAGTTTGGTTTACTTTAAATCTCATAACTTTTCTCGTCTTGAAGAATTTAATTTTTTAATAGAAAAGGGTTTGAATGTTTGTTCAAAATCCTAAAATTTCATCCGATAAATCTACAGTAATTTCTCTATATTAGAAAAGTTATAAGCTTTTACTCTCCTTTCTTTGTTGCCTGAAATTCCCTTAAACCTTTTTTCCTCTCATTTCCCTTCATTCCCTTTTTAGTGAAGCCAAGATCCTTTCATATTTTATATAAAGCAATCCGTAAAAATCACTACAAAAGGTTCACAACGGTTCTACGGAATTTTTTTCAGAAAGAAAAAAAAACGATTTTTTTAAACACTAATGTGAAACTTGCTCTGTGTTATAGGTGAAAATGCGAGGGCCGCTAGTCCTGTAATCATTTTTTTTATAAGAAAATGAAATTATTTGTTATAGATTATCGGATCTAGTTGTTTGGATTACCGATTGAGCAATGGTCCGTGTCCGACACTCATTGGAGTCGAGAGAACTGAGCCGGGACTGGTCACCAATTGTGGCTGTTGAATGTCGTCGGAAATCGGGCTAAATGTTGGGAATGACTTCAATTTGTTTAGTGATTTCTAAACACTAGTAAAATCTAATCATGGGCTTTTTCCACTTGGTAAAAGAACCAAATTTCTAGGCCAAGCTAAGCCAAGCGCCAAGCCAAGCCAAGCCAAAGTTAATTCATACTTTACTACTTTAATCCATTAGTTAGGAATTACTAATCACTCTAATCCTAATTACTAATTAGTTTAAAATCAGTTACCTATTTGGCTGGCTAAACGGCAAGAACATTGGATTTGGCGAAGAGCAGACTGATGGAGGATCGACTGGTGAAGCCGAATAGGTACGATTTCTGAAATCATTTGGAAAATCATTTGAAAAATCTTTAGAGAACTTCATCAGAATCACATCAAAACGTTGCAGTTACTTTTATAGACAAAAAAAACATTCAATGATTGTAGTAGATTTGACAAAAGGCTGTACTTGTGTAATAATCATCGCTAAGTTAACTCTAACATGCAAACCATGGGATTGAGGTTAAAACAAATCGAAATGGGCAAAGATCACACATACCCGCCATCCAACCTGGGATGTTCAATCTTCAGATGGAGTTTCTTCTCATCTTTCGTCGTCGTTGAAATCGTTCTCGTTTTTGGCTGTGTTTGTGTGGTGTATGTCTGTTGTATTCCATCTCCATTTCCTCCATCTTCTTCTGTTTTCTTTTCGATTCCCATTCCGCCAATGTGCGATGTGGAGCGCGCGAATTCTAAAATTCTCCCCATATTCAAGTAGATCTATCACTCTTTACCTGAAAGCTATAATAGAAAGGTATTTTTTTTTTAATTAAAGCGTTTTCTAAAAGAAAAAAAAGCTATCTATGATAGATTTTTTTGGCAAACAGAGTGCTCTAATGCTTTTCTCATCTTTTAGAAAACATTCCAAAAGGTTAACTTGAGATATTCAATCATTCAGGTAAAAAATGATAGATCTTATTGAATTTCTTTTCATAAGCAAAAGCATTTCAAACGACAAACTCTTCGACGATTTCGGTAGAGATACAAGACCCGAGAATTTTCTCATTCTCACTTTAAATGTAAATATAATTGTTGTCTATTCTCTAATGCTCCATTTTCTAGTGTCGTCTTTAATACTGTAAATATAATTGTTGTCTACTTCCTAGTGCTCCATTTTCTAGTGCTGTCTAACCTCCTTTATGTTTCGAGTCGGTCGGCGGCTTCTTGCTGATCGAGCCCGCTCGTTTTCTTGAACTGAATTATTGAGAATACGAAAAAGAACACAAAACGACAGTGAGATCAAAAGAAAAATGTTTTTTTTTCTCTTGATTGAAACTCACAGAATGTCTCCAATCTCATCATAAAGTTTTGAAGCTGTTGGTCTCAACATGGCTTCGGGTTCGAAACAACTAAAAGTGAAGAAAGGTTTAAAATTATCATTTTAATCGTCACCTTTTTATAAATTGAACACATCTCTCAGAAAGTCTTTCCTCTGGAATTGGTGGATGACATTTAAACATTCCAACACGGAAAAGAGCAGCTTCAGGAGAAAGAAGCTGAAAAAACAAAGATGATGATTTTAAGAGGAAATTAAAATGAAAATTAAGGATTTTTTTCTAATTGTTAATCTTAAGAATGGTTTTAACTCTAGTTTTTATTGAGAATATATTTTGAAAGCATTTTAAGACTAGACCACGACTCTGGAACAGAAAGAAAGCTCAATTAGATAAAATGATTAGTCATTGTTGCTTTTACTAGCCATATTCCTAGTATTAAATTGATTACTGGAGTAAGAGCTTCTAGGCAAAGATTTAAAAACATTGATACCTCTAGAAATGGTGGTTTGCCGGTGACCATCTCGACACAAGTACATCCGAAACTCCAAATATCAGCCGGTGCTCCATATCCACGTTGACCATGATCGATTACCTCGGGAGCCATATAAACAAGAGTACCTAGAATTGCCATACTGCTAATGTTCTTTCTGTTCTAAAAAATATATTCTTAAACTTAAGCAAAGCAGAATGTTTGTAAAAGCTGTGTGAATCGAAAAACTACCTGGTTTATCTTTAACTTTGAAAAAACCCGTTTTTCCTATAACATTCCTATTTTATATTTATTATCTAGTCCATTTTATGTCTATCTCTATGTCTATCTAGTTCTTTAAATCTTAGCTTAATCTTAGCTTAGTCTTAGCATAATCTTACCTTTCTCTTAAGTCTTAAGCTCAATCTTTTACTCTAATCTTAGCTTAGTCTTAGCTTAATCTTATCTTAATCTTAAAAACTTAAAAATCAAGTCCTAGACACACTAAAACTTTTCAATATTCAAATTACAAAGCACTAAAGTTACTAAAGCACTATAAAGTCCTAAACCTACTAAAACTTTCTAATATTCAAATGATAAAACAAAAAGCAACAAACCAGTAAACGATGCTGTATTCGGATTAAGTCCAGCCAAACGTTTGCACGTTCCAAAGTCCGAAATCTTACAAATCCCACTATAGGTGTTGACCAAAACATTGTCGCCTTTGATATCACGATGCACAATCTTTTGCTCATGCAAATATCTAAAGAAAATAATCTTAAAAATGATCTTCAAACTTACTTTAATCCGGCAAGTATTTGTCTTCCATAGTTGACCATATTCTGCTCATTAAGGGCTCCCCATTTTTGACGCAAAAGATTCGACAAAGATCCACCGGGAACATGTTCCATGAAAATCAAAAACACATCATTTCCCGTGTCTCTAAAACATTTCAAATATTGTTTTACATTTAAAATAAACAAATTGAATAAAATTGAATCAAATTGAATCAAAAATTTTTAAAAATACTTAGCTTTAATAGAACTTAATAAAATAATAAGGTACTTTTCCAATATCGGGGGAGCGGAAAGATTATCGGGGGAGCGAAAGGAAGCGACGATGCGCTTCTCCGATATTTGTGCGTCAAGAAATCGACGGCAATCGTTTATTTCGTCACCAAAGGAGTCATCCAGTCGTGGATTTGCAAATGTGGCGAATCGATGAAAGTCCGCTCAAAGGGAAAAGATCTATTTCGCTGGGTATGTGACACTTGCGCACGGCGAAAGGTCCCCAAGCATTCAAGAGGAATTCGAGTCGATAACTTTTTGCAACCCGTTCGTCACAATTTTAAAGCTCCCGTTCGTCACAATTTTAAATAGGACATATGTAGCGCTGCCAAAATTTGCTCCCCCGATAATCGGACCGCTCCCCCGATATTGGAAAAGAACCAATAATAACATCAACTCACCTCTTTAACAAATCACAACCCAAATATTGAACAATATTTTGATGAAGAAGTGTAGAATGGAGTTGAATCTCTTCCATTAGAGGTTGAACCTAGAAATTGAGAGAATTTAGATGACTTTAATTACCTACTTAAATCTTAAGTTAAACTTAAGTTAAAATCTTAAGTTAAAATCTTAAATCTTTAAATCTTAAGTTAAAATCAAATAAAAAAACTGCACCTCTTCATCGAATTTCACTTCGATTTCCTTGACAACAATTTGGCGTTGAGTGGTGAGATCGCGAGCCGCGTAAACGGTACCTAAAATGAATAAAAGCTTTAGAACAAAAACATTTTATGCTTAAAAAGTTGGCATCCTACTAAGCTAACGATCATTTTCACAAAAAAATAAAAACAATCGGCTCATTGACTTTATTTCACAAAATTTACAAAACCTCAAAAAATTTGACCCTTCTTCCTTTTCAAAGCAAAAAGTTCTCAGTTATTTGCACTATGAACATATTTGTGACAAATTTCGGCAAGGCCCCCAACGGGTCCCTTGGTGTATTGGTAAAGCATCACCCTTCCGGGTCTCATCGCACGGGTTCGACCCCAGCCCTATCCAAAATCCTTCCTTTATCTCTCAGAATTGAACCAAAAACTACCTTTTAGTTTGAAAAACATTTTATTTATTCAAAACTTACATTTTCCTACCTTAAACAGTTGAAATTTTACAAAAAACGCGCGTTTCTCAACCTCTAACCACGGCCTTATAAACGTTAATTCGTCGGGGCTATTCGCGCACGTATGGGCTAGTGGTATAAGCTTCTTCACTCCCATGATCCCGGAGATATGGAGAGACCCGGGTTCGAATCCCGGTGCGTGCAAAAATTTTTTTTTTTGTTTTTTTCTAAATTTTTAAAAAATATTCTTTTGGTTTATATAAGACAAGTCTGTCTTTCGATTTTTAACCTTTTTCGACTTATTTCAATGGGAAAAATAGATGGATTAGGTGTCGAGTTGAAAGGTCGACTTTAAACAACGATATCTTGGTTGATATGATCTTTAAACAACGATATCTTTGTTTGATTGGTGGCTAAAAGCTTAAAAACATCATTTTTATTAAGATATTAAGATATTAAGTCATAAAATATTAAGTTTACATAAAAATAGCTTTAATTTATCAAACTTTTTAGGTTTTTTAAAAAAGAAAACCTTTATTTTAACGTTTTTTCGTTTTGTGAAGCTTGTAAATAGCCAAATTTTTGTTTTATTTTCAAAAAAACCATTTCAAATTTTGATTTTCCTATCATTTTTTTAATAGCTCTTTTCCAAAAAAAAAAAAAGTTTGTTAAAAATTTTGTCTTTTTTTTAAATTCGAAAAGATTCGCCTTCAAATTCACAATTTCTTCACCAAATTTTCTCAAAAAACTTGTGAAAAATGAAAGGGTTTTTAAAGAAAACTATATAAATACCACTTTTACATTAATCGATTGAATATAATATTTTAAATTAGCTAAAATCGGCGCCATCACCGCCCCCATCACTGCCCCATCACTGCCCCCTCACTGCCCCCTCACTGCCCCATCACTGCCCCATCACTGCCCCCTCACTGCCCCATCAATGCCCCATCACTGCCCCATCACTGCCCCATCAATGCCCCATCACTGACCGTATGTTCCACTGCCGAGATTCACTCGATTTCCCTGTTTGTCCGTCTCGTATTCGAACTGAAATTTCTTTTTTTTTGTTCATTTCCCTCCCCTTCTCGCATTTTCAATCAAAATCTTGCTAATAGATTGCTAATAGAGTTGCTCATTTCAGAAACTTTCTCAGAGACTAAACAAAAACCATTGAAAGAGTCAAAATTTGCACAAAAATGGCAAATAAGACAAATGTCGTACACCGTACGAAGTGGAAATCAAATTGAAATCGATATCCACCAGATAAAAGTGACTTTTTGATTTCGCTAACATTTGAACCACTTTTCCCATAGAGAGAAAGCGGATGGAAATGCAGCCGCCGGGGTCGAACCCGGCTGGTCGAGACCGGGAGAAAAACTCGCTAACCATTCGGCCACAAAGGCATCGACCCCGGGATCACAAGAGGGTCTATGAGGTCTCGGAAATCGCTTATAAACTGACAAATATCAGTAGCTGCAGTACTCTAAGATAAAAGCTACAGTACTCTGCCGTACTGTAACTTTTTGGCTTTCTAAAGCTTACCTGCATTTGTCCATAATCGATATCATTTAGTACTTTTCCACTGTTTCCCTCAGCTCCCTGAGTCATCTCCTCAAGAGCGCTGATTACTCTAAAAATCGATGATCACTAAAAAATGGATATTCAGTGAAACCCAGGCGACGGTAGAAGTCACAATATACGGTAACTAGTAATAGATACAATACTTTAGCTAGACTAGACCTAACTACAGGGCTGAGCAAAATTATTCGGACAACTTTTTGAAAAAGTTGTTGTGTGCTTAATTTATTTCAAAATGTCAAGTGTTATATAGAGAATTGTAGCCCTTAATCTTGGCTATATTTATCTACGAAAAACTTCGCGAATCGGATGAATACAGCTCATTTAATCCTCAAAAATGGCAGCGCGGATACAGATCGACTAGTGCTCATTCAAGGACTTGTTAAATGAGCTGTATTCGTTCGATTGCAAAGTTTTTCGTGGATAAAAGTAGCCAAGATTAAGGGCTACAAATCTCTATATAACAATTGACACTTTGAAGATTAAGCGAAGAATCGATTAAGCGTACAACAACAACTTTTCCAAAAAGTTGTCGGGGTAATTTTGCCGAAGCCTGTAGTTCACAAAATACAGTACCACCGGTCCTGTGTCACCTATGCGAGCAGCCGCTTGAGGTTGATAGGGATTTTTTTGGCTAGATCACTTACTTATTACAGTGTGGTGCTGATGGGAAGACGAGATTGAAATCATCAGAATTCTCATGTACATAAAGAAAAAGACTTCGATCATCCCGTTTGCTTCTCGAAACAGCTTTGATATTACCCGAAGTAAAATGCCAACGATGGATGCCTGAAAAGTTGCATATAAGAAAATAAGGAATATGAGGAGTACGGTAGGGTTTACTGTAATGTTTTGAAGAGCTTTACACTAAAGTCCGGATCATCTTTATCACTATCACGGACTAGGCTGTAAGCTTTATCCATAAGCTTTATCCGAAGCTTTATCCCTAAGCTTTATCCGTAAGCTTTATTCGTAAGCTTTATCCGTAAGCTTTATCCGTAAGCTTTATCCCTAAGCTTTATTCGTAAGCTTTATTCGTAAGCTTTATCCCTAAGCTTTATCCCTAAGCTTTATCCGTAAGCTCTAAGCACTCTAATATTATCCAGAATAATTACTATTTACAGTACTCTATATACTAAAGACTCTAAATGAAGTACTGAAAAATTCTCGTATATTAAGCCAGTACCGTTGCCTTATTTTAATCCTACCGTACTCCCCGTTTTTTCAAATCATTGAAACAACTACAAAAACTCTTTCAAAAAAAATAAACCAATTCCTCATTTTTGATTTTCAAATAAACAGAGGGAATAAGAAATAAGAGAATAAATGTCAATTTTTTGGCAAAAATCTCATGCAAATTTTTGTTAGTTTTTCTCTTTTTGTTTTCTCTACCATCCAACGGTTTTCCAAAAGGGAAGTTGCGTAGAGAAATTTCTCCTAAATACTTTTCCTTAAGAGTTATTTTTTTTTATCTTTTAAATGCTTTAAATTTGGTGAGTGATCGACAATTATTTGTTAATTTCTTAAACGGAAATTGTTTTGCACTCTTTTTTCTCAAAATACCCGACACATCGTTGTGGATGTAAAATAGCGGCTCTATGAGTGAGGCGAGGAAATTCGTTTTTTGCTCTAAAATTTCCAAAAACATTTTCTCAAAAGATTTGGTTCTTTTCCTTTACAGATCTCTATGAGTTTTGCTCCTTATCTCTCTAAATTTGTTTCCTTTTCTCTCCACAAATTGGTTTCCTTTTCTCTTTCATTTGGTTCCTTATCTCCCTAAATTTGGTTCATTATTTCAACAAATTTGGCTCCTTATCTCTATAAGTTTGGCTCCTTATCTCTCTAAATTTGTTTCCTTTTCTCTCCACAAATTGGTTTCCTTTTCTCTTTCATTTTGTTCCTTATCTCTCTAGATTTAGTTCCTTATCCCTTTTCTCCAAAAATTTGGTTCCTTTTCTCTACAGATTTGCTTCCTTTTCTCTACAGATTTGCTTCCTTTTCTCTACAGATTTGCTTCCTTTTCTCTACAGATTTGGTTCTTTTCTTTTACAGATTTGATTCCTTTTCTCTATAACTACGGTTTTTGGGGATTTATTGAAACGCTAGGATACTGTAGGATGGGGTTTTGTAAGTTGAGCTGTTGTTGTTGAGCCTCTTTGTGTGAAACTTTAGTGAAGAAAGAAAAAAAAAGAATTAACACTTGAAACTTCTAGAGGATTTGATCAAAAAATCAAGTGCACAGAGAGGGTTTTTTTAAATTACACTTTTTAAGCATAAATTTTCACTCAATAACAAATTCAATGATTGTTATAGGTATAGCTGAAAATAATAATTTTAAAAAAAAAGTCCTTTTCTTTTTATTAATTACAATATATGCAAATTTTTAAATCCTTTACCTGGTGGCGGTTTTTTCTGTTGTGAATTCTCAAGTACATGACTCAAAATGATCGATCCTTCTTGCACATTCATCGTCAGAAATGATGGAGTGAATTGCTGAAAGATTTATGTTTTTTTATCCTCAAATCAACCCCATTTCACCGCCAAAAAAATTGGCTAAGCTGAAAAAAAAAATGAAAGAGAAAAAAGTGGAGGGGGAAAAAAGAAAAGAAAAGTGGAAATCGCTTCTTTGCTTGATTTTCTCTTTAAACTCCTTTCTATTGGACCTTTTGTACATTCTCGGCCACAGCAGATCCACAAGCAAAACAATGAATTGTCATTCCGGATTTCGATTTTATCTATTTTAAAAGAAACTTTACAAAAAAAAAACTCAAGTGACAATTTTATCTACACTAATCCAATCTGCCAGCTAGCTTACCCCAAAAAATTTAAGAGATTTTTTGTTTTCGATATCCGCCCTCATTTTGTAAATTTTATCTACCTTGAGCTCTTGAATGAGTACGGGAAACCGGGCACAGTGAATGGGAGCCGTTTCACTCTCGGTAGCCTCCATGAAGAATTCAGTCCAAAAGAGGAATTGTTGTTTGTCCTGCAAAGTTTCAAATCGCATCGTTTTCTCTCATTTCTAGTGCCACCAATTTCAGCTTAACTTTTCAATAATTTCTAGAGTCCTTTTTTTGCTAAAGAAATAGTTTAAGATGTCATTTTCTTAAAGATCTTTTACCTTTTCAATTGGGCTCATTGTGGCCGCACATCTGTTGATTAATTTGATGTTCTCCATTGTTGATCGAAGATGCCAAACTGGGGGCTTTAATTGGGACATTCGCAACGCGGCTTGACAGGCTTTCGAGTAATCTTCGGCGAGAACGGAGACCTGTGAAATGAAATGAAATGAGCTTGGTGAAAAATGGCGAATTGAGTTCGCCAGAAAGGGTGCATTTGAGTGGCAGAACTTTTGAGCACAAAGAACACCTCAAAACAGTCAGCTTTCTGTTTTACTACAGGGTTCCGATCCAAAAGTTTTCGTAGAACTTTTTATTTTTCAACTGACCTCAAAGAAAGTGGCCACATCCCAGTAGTCTTGCAATGATTGAAGGGCTCCTTTCCGGCCGAGCAGCGAATTCAGGACAAGACCTAGAAATTTTGATTAGAATTTCAATAAATACCGTACGTAATATAAGGCCCATAATTACAATATTACGGCAATTCTTTTCCAATATCTCACCAATTCTCGACATTTCCGGGTTATTCTCGAACGTTTCGCCACTTGCGCGAAGCAGAGTCGCCAAATTGATTCCCGAGTACTCCAATGGGGATAATTCAAAAGCTTTTCGATACCTAGAAATTAATAATAGATAAAATATCATATGATATTCAATCATTTACCATTGAATCGCACTATCCAGACTCGATTTATCCTCATAACCACTCGCGCAGAATTTATCTTTATAAATTCTCCCAGCCAAACAAATCATATCCGGACTTAAAGCATCCTAAAAAAAATTAGCATTTAGATAATTAGCATATTTTGAAACCTTTGGATCTTTTCCATCTTTTACTTTCTCCGCATCGGTCATTATTTTCAAGACGGTCTCCAGCGAGCGATCGCGATCGTTTCCCTTGTTTCGTCTGGAAAACATAACTCTTGGATATTGAACTCAAAAAAACTACTATAGATTTCTATGTTAATCCTTAAAAACGAACCGATTTAACGCAAAGGCATAGAGAAAACGAATCGCTTGTGCCTGGAGGACGCCACAACCCGGGACTTTCTTCAGCTCATCGATCAACGAGATCATTCCCTCATAGTTCTGCTTGTCTCTAAAAATGATACTTGTTTAAAGATTTTGAGTTTCATGGAGAATATACTAAAGATTTTTTGAAGATATTTATCGTAAATACTGTAATAGTACCCCCCGCCCTCGTACAGTCGCGTAGTCACAAAAATTTTTTAGTATTTTATTTTTTTCAAAGCACTCGAGCTTTCAAAAAATGCGTCTTTGGTATCATAAAATAGCTGAAATTCAGGGCTATTTTTGATAACTAAGCGCGCATTGTAGCATAAAACAGTGTCGAAAAAAACTCGTTCAAAGCTAGTCTACGCGACACTCCGCACCGTCATTATGGGGGTGGGGTACTATTACAGTATTTACGGTAGGCAAATACCGCATCTATTCTAATTGGTGACCGTTTTACAGGTTCTGAGTTTTCATCGAAGCTAATACAAGATCTGAATCTGTTACATTTGTCCGACTCCACGTCGATAGGTTCTAATCAGCGATTTTCGTCATTTTGATTCAATTTAAGTAACCCTCCGGGTGCACTACTTTATAGAAAAATATACTGTATTCAGAGAATAAATAGCTTTTTTGAAAGAATTCCAGTCATTGCATATTTCTCTAAATTCTCCTCACCTGTATCCCAAGAGCAATTGATGCACCGTGTCCACACTCAACACATCCGGATTATCGAGTCGAATGCGCATTTTGTCAAGGAAAGCATTCGCCTCGCTCACATCGGTGATTTCGCGCACTTTTCGGATATCCGAGAGGAATTTCTCGCGAGAATGAGCACTGAAATCGATGGGATTTGATCGAAAGTTGTGGATTTGAATTGAAATTTGAACTAGGCTTAAGGTAAATATTGCAGCTTTTTGCAGCAACTTATCGACCTACTTTGCCTCGACTTGCACATTTTTGAGCGCCATCTTTAGACGATGCTTGAATTGGACAATTTTCCCGCGGATACAGTCAGATTTCGTGAGATTCGTCGATTCTCCGAAATCAACGCCTTCCTGAAATAATCATATTCAGCTAATGTAGATTTGTTTCTAACATTTACGACTATTTTTTAAAATTCAAACCTTTTTCTCGGTTGACATCAAATGCGCCGAGTCGGGCGTTGTGAAGTAGACGAGAATTTGATGGCGGAGGGTTTGCTAAAGAAAACTTTGTTTAGATTTTCAACTTTTGTAAAAAAATTATTGACTTATAGTAATCAATTTGTGGTTTTATTCAGCCACTTCTTTATATTTGTTTTATTTTTTCAAAGTCAAATAGTTGACTTTGCTGAAATTGCTATTAAAGCCTTGTTTTATGCTGAGCTTTATAAGTAATAGATTTCAATTTTTAAAAATACAAACCTTTAACGTCTCGAGCTTGTTATCGGTTTCGTCGAGAAGTGTGAGGATGAGATTGTAGTTTTGACCCATACTTTCCCGGACACCTAAATATTTTATCGAGTAAGCAAAGTGCTGTTTAAACTAAACAAAGGTAAGCAATTGTTTAAAAAAAAACAAACCAATATGATAACATAGTGATGCTTGTTGTTGCGGCACAGAAACATCAACAAGCGCCACATCAGCGCTGTAAAAAGTGTCCAGCGTGTTCGTCTCACCGAAATCCAAACGATCGAACTCGAGTTTCTAAAGGGGAAAAATGTTTGCTTAAGCTTAAAGAATAAATGTAATAATTGTCTAGAATCTAATAACTGTCTAGAATCTAACAACTGTCTAGAATCTAATAGCTGTCTAGAATCTAATAACTGTCTAGAATCTAATAACTGTCTAGAATCTAATAACTGTCTAGAATCTAGTAACTATCTAGAATCTAATAACTGTCTAGAATCTAATAATTGTCTAGAATCTAATAACTCTTTAGAATCTAATAACTGTCTAATAAGTCTAAAAAACTTAAAAATTTAAGTACTTTAGACTTTAAAACTTTTACTTGTACTTTAAAAAGAAAAACCCAAACCGTCAATTGAACATTCAGCTGATCAGTCACTTTCTGCACATCATTTGCCGCCAATTCTCGAGAACGCAAATTTTTCTGAACCTAGAAAAGGATAATATTGTAAAATTTAAATATAAATCCAAATTCAAACCTTTAAATCCATAACAAGAACGACTTGAAGGCGGCGACTCGCTGGACTGCCTGTTTTATCGGGAGCCGGCGAAACAACCTGGAAATAAAAGCTAATAAAAAATAAAAAAGCTTAGATTTCAATCAAAGTTTAAGCTTTTTAAGTTCAAGCTTTTTAAATGTAATATCTAAATTTATTTAAAAGGAAGATATACAATAAATAGATCATTATAAGCAAGCAAACTGCTGCTTCGATTCCAATCAAAGTTCAAGCTTTTAAAATCCAATATCTAAATCTATTTAAAAGGAAGATATACAATAAACAGATCATTATAAGCAAGCAAAACAAAAAGTTCTTCTTACCTGACGAGCTCGTGCCTGTGATTGGCCAAAGTTTCCCGTTGAAAGGGTCAACGGAATCTAGAAAATTGGGTATAAAAGAACAAATTTTCTTTTGAAAAGCTTAAAATATCTAAAAAAATGTCGGGAAAATCACTGTAAAAGCTTATTCTAAAAGAAATTCACTTAAATTAATAGAATTTTTCTCAAAACTAGTTGACCTCTCGATCCTCGTCAGACATGATTTCACTCGCTTCTCTTCCTTTTCTCAAAGAGGCATTGCCTAAACAGAAATTGAAATTGAAAAAGATAAAAGATAAAATATTAGGGAGTAGGTTAATTTCCGCCATTTTATTTGCGCAACAGGGTCATTTGCGCAACTGGGTCGTTTGCGCAACTCGCCATAACTTCCTGTTAAGTAGACCAATCTTTATGATTTTGGTTTCATTTTGTTGCACTTATTGAGATCTACAAAATGAAACCAAAATCATAAAGATTGGTCCACTTAACAGGAAGTTATGGCGAATTGTGCAAGAGACCTAGTTGTGCAAATGACCCTGTTGCGCAAATAAAATGGCGGAAATTAGCCTATCCCAATATTAGAAAAGTAAAAAAGTAAAAAATTTCAATAGTAATAAATCTCTTTTTCCTTTTTTGGAATGTGTTTGTTTTTTGGCATTGAACCGAGATCATATGAGGGAGCGCCGAATCTAAATGTAAACAGGAAAGAAGCGTTCTTTTTGTCGGCGAAATTAAAGTCCAATTACTGTAAAAAGTATTCAATTATACAATAACAAAGATTTTGAAATGCTTTTTTCTTAATGAATTTTCTTTTTTTTCTTAATGAATTTTCGAGTGATGATTCAACAAATGAATGATTAGATAGAGGGGAAAACAAGGTGCAAAAGCTGCTCTATGACTCACAAGCCGACACTTTATATAGAAAAAAAATGGAAGAGGAAAACGTTTCCGTTCAAAAAAAAAAACCATGACTTTTCGTGAAAAACAAAAATTTCTTTCGAAAATCATATGGAAACGGAATTCTTGAACCAAATCGAATCAAGATTCTTTTAAAAGTGATTGACTGACCAAGCAAGCAAACAAGCAAGCAAAGCAAGACCAAAGACAAATATCTGGGAGTTAATTCATATGAAAATTTAAATTTAAAGCTTCAACCCATTTTCGAGGATGAGGTGCTAGCAAAAGCGCGGCGTTTTTTCCCGAAAACTCAGGTTGCATTTTGCGAAAAAGTACGCAAGTTGGACCGCCAACGATTGGGCAAATGTTTTTTCACTGATGAGTCAAAAGTCAATCTTTTTTCAACCGGATGGGAACCATTTGGTTCGGAGAACTGTGGGATAAACGATTCAGCTCTAAATACTTGCGTCCGACGGTGAAATTTGGTAGTGAAGCGGTCATGGTATGGGGTAAGAGACTCTCTCTTGTTATGTATATTAATCGAGCTATGGCAAGAAGTTCACCGGGTCCATTGGTCCTTCTCAGCTCGACTCTTGATGCCCAGCGCTACAAGACGATCCTGGAGAACAATCTTCTTCCTTTTGCGACCGCTGACTATCATTTGTGCCAAATTTGCGCTTATGAAAAATCACTTTTCCCCAACTTCTAACCAACTTTTTTCTGTTTTCTGCTTCACAATTTTAGTTCTCACTGTTTTCAATTAGAAAACACGTTTAAATGCATATACAACCCCCAAAACACAGTCAATTTATGTGTCACCGATTGGACCTTTCTGCTCTTTATATCGATTTTTTTTCAGATTCGACGAAGGCGTCAAAGTAGCGAGCATCGTCGACAAGGAAAAACTGAAAAAAAAATATAAACGATCAGTCAGAGTTGGTAGGAAAGTTTGTTGAAAAGGACAAATTTGGCGTAAATAATTTGGCCAATTATTTGGGCCAAATTATTTGGCGTAAATAATTCGGCGCAAATAATTTGGCGTAAATAATTTGGCGCTTAGCACCTCGAGGATACCGTAGTGTGAAATAAACAAAAAAGTTTTGCTGAATAACTTTTAAAGATTGGGGGATGATATTTTGAACGTCATTATTCTGGTACGGTCATTATCTACTCGACCTTGGTCGATACTCGTATCATAAGATGATATTTGGCATTCTTGACTGTGTCCTGACTCTGTTTTGTCTTAAAATTGCAATGAAATTATCTAAATCCTTTTCAAGATTATTGTTCGCTTCGAATTTGTCTATTTTTGGGAAAACTTTTAAAAAAGCATGGACCAATCGAATTCCGATGGAGGCTCCCACAGAGTTGAGCTGAGGAAATAGAAGCAGATCTGCAAATAATACGATACTACATATTTCTGTATTCCTCCTTCTCCTTTTGTATTACAGATACAACCTGGATACAAATCTCTTTATTGATCCATTGCACTCCAGCAAGATATTGGAAATAGAAGCAAATCTGCAAATATTACGATACTACAGATTTCTGTATTATTTGATAACTGCGATATCACTCACAATTAACTTTAAATTACTCTTTTACTTATATATTTATATTTATATATATACTTAAATCTAGCGCATTTTATCTTAAAACTTTATCTTAAATCTAGCACAGATCCTGAATAAAGTATCTACACTACTGGACAATGAAATATGATATTTGAAAAACGATCGTCACTTTCGCGCGTCTGTAACTCCCTTGTCTTTGAGTTTAAACTATTAGTGCTATACATTTTCTGAAAGCTCTTTTCAAGGGCTTCACAATGGTAATATTAATATTTAGAAATACGGTAAAGACAAGGAATTACAAACGCGCGAAAGTGACGATCTTTCGTCACGGAAAATCCACATATCGATCGACAATTATTGAACATGCAGCCGGTCGTGAAGCTTTGGCACAAGAAAGCCCGATTGGAGTTCGCCAAGGCTCATATGAATCAGGATTGATCTATGGTTAGAAAGCCGCTTATGTTTTATTATTTTTTTAGCGTTTAGGTGATCTTTTCCGATGAGAAGAAATGAAATTGGGATGGTCCCAATGGCGTCGACTACGATTGGAAGGATCTTCGACGTGATCCGATAGTGTTTGGAACTCAAAACTTTGACGGTGGTTTTGTGATGGTTTGGGCCGCCTTTTGTGCTGATGGAACGGTCGCTCTGAAGATGGTTTCGAATCGGATGACTAGATAGATATCTTGAACAATTGCTTGTTGCCGTTTTTGCTCCTAAATCCAACCGTTCCGGACTTGTTTCAATACGACAACGCATCAATTCATCGAGCCGGAGACACCCGAGACTGGCTGAACAGCAACAACATTGCAACTTTGGACTGGCCCGCTCAGTCTCCTGACCTCAATCCGATAGAAAATTTATGGGAAATACTTGTCCAAGCTGTCTACAAGAATCATCGTCAGTTTCAAGACGTTTCTACACTTAAAGCAGCACTTTTTTCGGCCTGGAGCGATCTCGACGTCTCTGCTCTTCAAAACCTCATCAATTCAATGCCAGACCGCATTTTTCAAGTAATTAATCGTTCTGGTGCGCGTACAGATTATTAGTTTTGATTTTTAACCTTTGATTTTTAATTTGTGTCGATAAATAAAAATATTTTCATAGTGCGTTTAAGAATTTGAAACGGTCGATTTAGCAAAAAGTTTCTATTTTGAAAATTTTTACTTTTTACAGTATGCTTCTTTTTCGTGTTATTTAGGTTTTAAGACATGCTCTTTCTAATAGAAAAAGACTAATAGTTGTAGCGGTGGTCAAAATGCAAAATCCGCTATTTTAGAGGGTGCGTTTAAGAATTTGAAACGCACTGTACGACATATATTTAAAAACTAGCCAAAGTCACACTCGACTTGTCCTTTACAGCCACGAACATCTTTTGTATAGTCCACGATTTTCGAGCGTTCGCCCGGACCATGTACCTTTAAATACACTATTCGAGTCAAAAATCGATATTTCTCGTACCAAAAACCCGAAATTCTTCACTCCATTGAACTCTCCCATCAAAAAAAATACACTGTTTTCATTTTTTTTTTGCCTTTTCTGTAATTTCTGCAGCCGCAAGTAATTGAGGTGTGAAAAAGAGTAATTCAGAAAAAAAAGAAACCTAATCCATCCCAAAAAACCAAAGAATCATCTCGTCAATCCTCTCCAGTATTTTGTGATTCTTTGTAAATCATAAAATCTATATTTTCTTTAAATCTTTATCATTAAAGAGCTAAAATTCTTTAAAGATCTTTGATTTCTCAATTTCTCATCTCAAAGCTTCAAAAATTATCTGAATGGGGGGAATAATTCCAGGCTAATGAACTGCCACGGGAAATAAATGGTTTTTTTCTTTCTTTTAAAATGGGAAATTCAAAAAACAGCTACCCGAGCTTATTTATTGGGTTGGCGCAGATGAAATGTCGGCTTTTTTATGTCCTATTTTTTTTCTTCAACCATAAATCTTTATGATTCTTTTCACAATTAAATAGCTAAGAAATCAATCTTTTTTAGTGGAGAATGAAAAAAATCTATAGTAAAACAATTAAAAAAAGATTGTTTGAAAATTAGCGCTCTCTCTGAGTGTTCTCTGCCTACCCTCTGGCACACAACCGGTTCAATTACCCAATTTTGTGGTTATAGGGCTTTTATAACCTATTGCCGGCCTTTGCTCGAGTATGCCACCATCATAGGAAACACAGGTACAAAAAAGATTAAATATAGGGCAGATTTGACATGACAATAAGTCTAGGCAATTAGACATAGCAATGCTATGTCTAATTCGTTTGACATAGCAATAAGATCTAATTTCGGTGACCTTCCATTAAGAAACTTATCACCCTGGATGAAAATGTTTAACGGCTTTTCACTAAAAAAAAAAAAGCATACACTCATTGTTTCCCTTCTTCTCTTATTCCAAATTATGAGACTAGACTTACCGTATTTTCTGTAATAGTAGTGCAGACTGAAGGGGGTTGAAAAAATAGTAGTGCGCACTACTATCTTTCTGTAATAGTAGTGCGCACTTATTATTACAGAAAATACGGTATAGTTTTTGATTGAAAACCCCTTTTATATCGCCGTATTTACTTTGATTTTTTTTGCTATAAAATTCTTTTCCACCCTAAATCGCATCCAGAATTTCAAAGCCTCTTGAAAATTGTGGAAAGTCCTAGAAAGTACATGTAGTCATCCTTATCAAATTTCATGCGGTAGTTCGATGCGCTAAGTATGAATATGGAGGAAAAGAGAAGCGTCGTCAAACTCCGACTCTCTACCCCCCCCCCCCTAGACAAATCTCTAGGGAAGGGTAGACACTTATCTCGACTTTGATCCTAATTTTCTTTATGTTTTTATCAGTAAGTTTACAAAACAGATTCTATATTTCTAAATTTCATGATTCTAAATTTTATGTAGATTCTAATATTTTGACATCCAAGATCGATATTAAAAGTTCCGGACAACTTATCGAGATTCATGTACGATAATCTCGATAGCTTGGCTTGAAAGCGGGGAAAAAAGCGGAAGATTGAATATCTTTTAATTTTCAAAGGAAAACTCAACAAATGGGGCAGCTACGCACTGCGACGGAAAAAGCGGAAAAAATTGCGGAAAAGCGTAGCTGCCCGATTTGTTGACTTTTTCTTTGAACATCAAAGATATTCAATTTTTGCTTTAAAGCCTGGTCTCGATAGTCAAGTCTAATGCGAACTCTTACCTTTTCTCTCGAGTAATCCGTTTTCTAAAAGGCAATGCTTAGAATTGATTTAACAGTACCACTTACAAGAGAATGGATCCAACTCAAGTTCGAGATCGATTCAAGATAGATTCAAGATCGATTCGAGATAGATTCGAGATCGATTCGAGATCGATTCAAGATTGATTCAAGATCGATTCAAGATCGATTCAAGATCGATTTCTTGTTAGAGCGTTTTCCTGTCAACTGCTGCGTTTTCTAAAAGACAAGACACCTGTATTCGAAACTACCAAACAGCCATTTAATCATTTAATTAAATTCAATCAGCCGAATTTTGATATTATTCGATGAGGAATCACAAAGCTCTGTCAATGCTCCAAAATTAGGGGGGTAGTCAAAACAGCGCCATAATAGAAAACGTTCAAAACAGCGCCCTCAATTCACCCAAAACAAACAAACCAAGCCGGTTCAAGTTTTATATCAAAAAATTCCTTGCGTTCTTGGCTACATGATGGGTGAAACAGTTTTTTAAAAAAGTTAATATTTCATAGATAAAAAGAGTACTTAAAAAGATATTCAGTTAACCAACTGAGTATCACTCGACACACATTTTGAGTGCTCTTTTTATCTATGAAATATTAACGTTTTTTAAAAAACTGTTTCACCCATCATGTAGCCGAGAACGCAAGGAATTTTTTGATATAAAACTTGAGCCGGCTTGGTTTTTTGGATTTTGAGAAATTTGACGGCGCTGTTTTGAACGTTTTCTATTATGGCGCTGTTTTGACTCCCCCCTTCTTCTAGAACCATTTGTTTTCTATTTTCAATAAAGGTTAAGATAAATTGTATTCTTTTGTACAATGTATTCTGTTTGCCCACTTCTAGAAAATTATACCCCTGCAAAATGAAGAGAGAAATGGGGGATAATTAAGAAAAGGGAGAAGATTTTCTTAAATGTTTGATCAATCGTAAAAAAAAAAAGGCGGAATTCAAGCGGAAAAATCTAGTAAATCACTTTCCAAATTCATTTTTTTTCGTAAACATAAAGCATTTTTTTCTCAGCATTTTTGTTCTCTAAAAATTTCTCAACTTTTTTCAGAGAATGGCCAGAAATGACATTGAAGTGTGGCCCTATTATCGACCGGATCTCGTTTTTATCTATCGAGTATTGAAATTGAATTTGACCATTAGAAAATCCAATTTCAGATTATCGAATCTTCAACATTTTCCCTCGTATTTCTCGTAGTGATTTTCTATATTCGATTATTGTTAAAAAAAGAGGTAAATGAAAAAGATGCTTAACATTCTTAACATTCTAACATTCTTTTCATTCCTAACCCCATTCTTAACATTCTAACATTCTAAAATTCTTTTCATTCCTAACCCCATTCCTAACTTCAGTTTTGTCATCCGAATCTCCGTTTCCTCCTCATCACACAACCGATTTGTCATATTTGCGGTGAGAAGAAAAATTTCTGATACTTGTTGGGGATTTTTTCTTTTTAAAAGGTTTTTAAATGTAAAGTTTAACGACAAAAAAAGTAAAATGACCTCCAAGAGAAAAGTATCAGAGTTTTTAACTAAACTTAACCAGTATCAAAACGTTTAAAGTTTCATTTCAGCGCTAGCACTCCGACCAATCCGACACACAATCGACTATTTCGGATTGATGAACCCAATCCTTTTGAAAACGATCAACTATTTCTCGGACTCTTGTGAGCTTTTCTGAAAATTGTTCAACTAAATTTAATCGAGTTCTGAGGTTTAGATGTAAACATTCCAATAGAAGCATACTCTTCAATAAAGGGTACTGTAGCTAATGCAGGGATACGGTACGACTTTTACGGTAGTAACTGTAGTTTGACATTAGAGTGGGCTGTCATCGGAAAGCTGAATGAGTATAAGTCTCAACTGAAAGCATCGATTTCCAGTGCTCACCATCTGCTTTCAAATCGTTCTCGCCTATTCGGTGGAGCGAATCATTGCCATAAAATACGTAGAAAATTACGAGAATCGATGGACAAAAAGGCCAACATTGGGCATTTTGCTGTTGATAGGATCAGTGAGTGCAGAAAAGCAGAAAAGAAAGCTCTTTAAGAACTGTTATAGATATCAAGTGAACAGGGATTGATAATGCTTTGGTATTTTGGATTGAACAATACATTGGCGTATTCTCTGCAATATCTCTTCTTCATCACAGCGGCTATTGTAAGTATCTTCGACTTTGATTAGAGCTGTTCTCAAAAGGTTTTCTAAAAGGTGACAATTTGCGAAAACTACAGTAATCCTACCCTAGCTTTTTTTCAAGTTCCCTACGTTTGCTGGATCCTGTCTTAATATGTAGTAGTGCGAAGTCTTTAGCAGTCTTTAGCTTCATCAAATCTAAACGTTCTGGCTAAAAGTGTTTTAAAATCCATATTCTGATCCAGATTCAAATCCACAATCCAGCTTCAAATCCAGATCCAATCCAGCTTCAAATCCAGATCCAATCCAATCCAATTCATAAAGATTTACAAAAAATGGGTAAAACTTTGTAGGATTACGGTAGCTTTCAAAAGTCGGTACGTTTTAGGAAACACAATCTTATCTTATTTAGTTTTTCATTGTTCTCAACATTATCTGCAAACGAGCCTACGCAACAGTGGCCAATCGTAAAGAATCCACCATCAATGAGAGGTTTTACAGGGAAATTTTCATCAAATTTCACTCATCAATTCATCATAGATTTCAAACAGCTCGGAATCTTAAAGCAGCACATTTATTGCTTCATCTGGCACCATTTAAATGTGCAGCCAACTTTGTTTCACTTTACGTTTATCATTGGATTTTTGAAGAGCAATCACCCACATACTTCCCACTTTATTCCACATATTATTTTTGGCTAAATCAGTTACAGGTTTGGGAAAATTTAAAAAAAGAGAGGACTCTGAAATTTCAGTTGATGATCCAAATGGTACTAACAGTTGTCGGACAAGACTGTCTCAAAGAAGAGTTATATCTGATGATTGGTCGACGACATCGCGTTGATGCACAGGGGATCACAACAATTCTTGGGAAACCCATGGTGTTCACCGCCGAACAAGCAAATCAAGTACAGCGAGCAACCGGTCTCTCCATTCAGTCAAATTACAGGTCTATTTCGAGCAGATTCAACAAAGCTGGGATATCGTCCTGAACAATAATCAAACGACCGGAAAAGCCAAATATAAGGAGCCAACATAGTTTATTGCTTTAAAATTAACACGCGATAAAAAAGAGATCAATAATATGCCCCTATCCATTATGAAGTCGAACAGTCGAAAATTTGCATGCAATAGCTCAAACCCTTTTCTTCTTGGCAGCACTCCTGAAGGTCAGTTTTGCTGGAAAAAAGTAAAAACCCTACCTTGCTTTCTTTTTCGGTTTAACATCTTCGTGATTTTCCGAAGTGCTGGTCGGTGAATCTCCGTCAGCTTCCTCTTCTTTTTCAACAACTTCCTAGGACCCTATAAAATGAAAAAGATTTCAAACCACAACCTCAGCAGATTTAATCTTGTTCGAAGCCTTCAAAACTTTAGCTGGCTTCTTGGTTTTAACTTTGTCTTCGGAAGTGGAGGATTTGACCGTCTGAAAACATACAGTAATTTAATGCAACTGTGTTAAACTACGTCTTCCAATCCATGAAGTAGAATCATCTCCTTTGGATAGTTGTCTCCAATTTCTGGGGTTTCAAGAATAAGTGGAATATTGTTCAAACGATCATCATTCATCATACGTCTAAAATTTAAATAATAAGTCAATCATTGATGATGCAGGCAGCTCACCGAAACCCATCTACACCAATGTGTCCTTTTCCGATCAGTTCATGTCGATCCTTGCAACATCCTTTAACATCTAGAAAGCCTTCACTTTAGTTTTTACCACCATAAAATTACCTTTAGAGTCGTTAATGTGAAAGCCTTTCAGATATTTGAAACCAATCTTTTCCTCGAATTCGTCCATCATTTTGTCGTAACCAGTGGATGTATTAAATTCGTATCCTAAATAGTTAACGTTTTTGTCAAAGTGTTCACTACTATACCAGCAGCAAAAACGTGGCAAGTGTCAATGCAAACTCCCACACGATCCTTGTCATCCACATCTTTGATCATGTCCGCGATCTCGGCAAAGGATCTGCCAATTGTATCTCCCTGTCCGGCCATTGTTTCAATGACTAAACACCAAAAATCAAGCTATGCTATATTGAACCTCACCAAGGCAGATTTGTGATGTATTAGAGTGAATATAGTTAATAGTTTCGGCAACCACTTTACAGCTTTCTTCTGGCGTTCCAAGGCCCGTTGTTGATCCTGAAAAAGTAGTGCCAAATACAAAAGTATGCAAAAGTTCTACCTGGATGAAAATTATATAGACCAATTCCTAATGTTTCAGCTCGTTTGCATTCTTCAAGCATTGCTGCACGTGATTTTTCCAGGGTCTGGAATAAAATTCTAACCTATAAGCGTCAAAAAATTTACCTCATCCTTCAATGAACCGGGATTAATTAGGTACGAGCCGTGAGGAAGAATCTTCGTTAGATCGAATCCAGTTTCCTAGTAAAATGTATTTACCAGAACCAAAAATTTCCCTACATTGATTGTATCGTGCCAGCGGGTGATAACTTCCTTTTCCAATGGATTGATATTCCATGTTCGACCGTTACGAACAAAAAATGCAAAAGCGCGACAACCGATAGCACGCGCGTTGTAAATAGCTTGTTCAAGGCTGCCTATATACAAACTATTGTAATCTACCAAAAATGTAACAACCTACCAGCTCCACTCACATGTACTCCCAAATATTTTTGACTTCCTTCAGCCGCAGCAAGGACCTGAGAAGTTTAGGTCCGCAAATATCAGTGACATAAAACCTCTTCACCGACGGTTGTCCTAGACGCTTCTTGTTGTTTACTCTCACCAGCATATACGCGCTCTACATTAAGAAATAAATTTTTGAAAGAGAAACACCCAGGGTTTTTTTGAAACCTTCTCACTTTTTGTTTTTGGCTTCACTTCTCCGTCTTCCGAATTCTTTCTTTTTCCCGATTTGGCCTCCTGTTTTGCATTTTTCAGTATTTTTGACGTCATAGTCTAAATCTTCGACTAAGCTCCCCATTTTTTTTTCTTAAGCCATACGATAATGTGTACGTGTTTTACATTCCGAAAATAAAATCGTTAAGTTAAAATATTTTATCACCAGTTTCTCAACAAACAAATCATAGAAGTCGGAAATAAACAATTGATCAATAGTTAAACCATAAAATAGGAGTAAACAATTGACAGGTAAAACAGTGTGCCACTTTTCAGTTTTCAGAGTTAGTCGCGTTCGTCCTCTTCAGATAGCACAGCCAACGTCTTTTGAGTAGAGAGTGCCACAGTAATTGTCTCTTCAACAAGGTCTTCATTTTGTAGATCAGCTTCCGTATCAACACCATCTGAACCATCAGTAAAAATTGCTCAAATGGTTAAAGCAACTCACTTCTAAGCCGCTTCCTTTCATCTTTTTGTTTTTCGATCAAAGCATGGTTTTTCTTTCTGATGATATCGAATGCAAGCCTGAAATTTATTTACTGTTGTGCATAGACACTGTGCGAACTGATATAAAAAGAACCAACATAATCTTTCGGCGTTTGTCGATAACTTCTTGGCTGGCCTTCACCTTCTCCTCATTATCTTCCCGATCGAATTTGGCCGAAGTTGTTTTCAAGTTCTTTCTAAAAGAATAATTCATGAGTGAAGCGTGAAACAGTAAAAACCTGATCTCCTTGACCTTCTGTTCTGAAAGTTTCACGGGTGGTCGTGGTCTCCACTTGAACTGCATCATGCGCTCAAGGTTTTTCCTAAGCAATTCTCGGCCCTGAAAATTTAAATTAGTTATATAAAAACTTATACTATTTCCTTACTTGGAAAGTATAGAGCCGGTAGCCAAGGTCCGCTCCGACTCTGCATCCAACCGTACAACAAGATACAAAGTATCGACCAGTTGGATCCCAATAGCCCTTGTTGAAGCCAGGATGCTCCGTGATGGAAGTACGTTTGGCCTCTTGTCCGTTGGTATCGATGAACAAAATGTTGCCTCCGGTTGACATGCAGGCCATGACGACAAGCCTGAACGTTATACATCTAAGAAAGTCAAATAGATCTTACCATCCTCCTTGTGGAGCAAAAGACACTGTGTTCAGTTGTACTCCAGCATCCAACTTTCCGAGGCAAACAGGTGTATGTTTCATGGCATCAATACGATAAACAAATGGAGTTGCTTTAGCTTGATTTCCGATCAATACGCAAAATTTATCGCCTAAACAGTTCAAACTTTCCAAGTTATTTGAACAATTATACCATTAGGTTCCCATCCAAAATTGATAAAAGCTTCGGAGAGAGGCAAGTTCATGAGTGCAACATCTTTCTTGCCAGTCAACTCGAAGATTTCAATGTGTGAAGTCATTGCACCAACAAATTTCACTTCACCATTTTCTTTGAATGTTCGCTTGTTATACCTAAGAGACACGAGTTAAATACGTTTTGCTAGGAGATCACTAACCTCAAATTATGCACCGCCAGCCGCATTCCACTTTCTTGCCAGAACATTTGAGCTTCAGCGACATTGTAGATGCGAGCAGATCGAAGCTTTTCTCCCGTCGGCATGCTTATTAGACCGAATTCAGCAGGTAATTGTTCTGTTGACTAAATTGATTTTAGTCAGAGTAAGATACCTAGATATTACCTCCGAGTAGTAAGCAATAATATTTTTGCCGCCAGGCGCCCAGCTGAAAGTGCGAATGTTCTCGATGACAATGTATCGGTTGCTAACAAGTTGCAACGTCTCGGCATCATAAACGGCAATTCCATTGACTTTCTTTTGCTTCTCGAGTTTATCTTTTTCCGGAACTTTCAAGCAGGCGAAGAATTTGTCGTCATGAGACCACCTCAAACGCTTTACATAGAGATGTCCTAGATAAGGGCAAACTCACTGGAAAAACGGCCAACCCTCCAATTCGTTCCGCAGGGTGAGTGCATACAATGAGAAACCCTTTCGCATCTCTCCCGTGCGTACATCCCAAAGTTGCAAACAGTTTTCATCTTCGTCCCATTTGGCATTGGAAGGAGCATAGGTGACCATGTACCTAAATTTTTTAATTATTGCAGAAATACACAAGGATTCTCACGTTTCGCAAGGAGAGAAATCGAAGTATTGCACATTGAGATGTTCAAATCGCATATATCGCTGAAACTTTGGACCACCCCACAATGCAATTCCTCGATTGTGAATAGTAGCTAAATAACTTCCATGGGGAGTCCATTTGAATACGGATTCGGTCCAGTTCTGAATTAGTAAATTCATACTTGTCAAAATTTAACAAAAATAAATTTGATTTTGAACGTACTGGTTTAGATCCATCTTCTGCTACTTCAGGTTCATGTCCCTTCACGTGCCAAAAGATCGAAACGGTTGGGCCGGCGGAATTTTCATATTGAACCGAGAATTGATCACGACATCGAGGATTTTGCATCCACGACCACAAATCTCCCTAAATGCAGAGCATTTTCAACAACAATTATCAAAACAACGTACCACGTTAGCATACTCGTTAGGTTTTGGTGGTTCCCAGTTCTCGTCGGGTTGAGGCATGTTTTTCATGTCAGCTATCTTAAAAAACGAAAATAAAAGTACAATTCAAAGAAAGGCTTACAGTGATAGCAGAAAATGTATGGACTTTGTCTAGCTTGTATCCATTCAACACCGTCAATGCATACTGGGCCGTTTCTTTGTTCTCCCATTCCACAAAAAGACACCCCTAAAGTTTTAACGTAAACAAAGTAAAAAAGAAAGCATACTTTTGTTGATCCATCACCACTTGAAGGATATTCGATCACGTGATTTGGGTTGATACCATTCAAAATCTTGGACATAACCGTCTAAACAAATTAATCAGATAAAACATATTTTCCAGCAGCTTACTTGAAGTTTTGCGAGCTTTTCTTTGGTGACACTGGGAATGCCAAAAACAACTAGACAATTCTCTTCGTACTCATCTATGAGCGGCTCCTGTCGTAGCACATCGCCCAATAGTTCTAAATCCACAACATTAACTTTAGTTGTAAAAAGCTAGCCTTCATCGCTGATTGGGTCGTTGTAGCCGGGAGGATCGTCAAAGTTTGGCTCGACTTCTTCGTTTTCTTTATTATTTATTTCAGCTTCAACCATTACAATTTCTTCAATCAATAGTTGATGTTTTACCTGAAAAAAAATAAAATGAAGAACTTAAAAGAGTTTAAAATTTCTAAAGTGAAATAAATGTCAATTAAAAACGGCCCCAATCCTATCATTTTCTCGCTAAAACGTCTTTATACAAAACCAGATTCTTAACAAAAGCATTGTTATCGCTTTAAAAACAAGATCTAAATGAAAGCCCATTTGTAGTTGATGCAAATGAAAATGTCTTGAAAGATTGCCAAAAGACGTCTCGACGCGAACGGGACACCGTAATGGAATACTTTGGAAGTGGCCAAAGAGAACTGAGTTGAGCATGTTCAAAACACAGTTTGTGATTGATTACACGGGGGAAAGCTTTAGATATTAGATTAACATATAACAATGAATTAAGAAGCCAATAAGATAGGCAAATCACAATACCGGATCACGGAACAAAAACGAAGTGACGGGCAAAATGAACGTATGAAATGAAAATTTAATGTTTAGATTTTATAGCCTATTAGCTTAGTAAAAGTATTCAGTTGAAAAAGTGGACAATGATCAATTTACAAAATGTGCATATAAATTCTTGCATGACAACTTTTAGCATTCCAGAATGGGCATTTCGTGTACTTTTTTTTCTTTCTATCTTTTTTTCTTTATTAATTGAAATTGAAAATCAAAATAAAATAGCAGCAAAGTAGGGCATGGTAAGGCAAGAATGTTCTGAATAAGTTCAAGGTAAGCCAGGAAGAAGAGTTGGTCAGGTGAATTGATCCCTGCTCCAGCCTTAAAAACTAGTTTAGAACAGCCCTGGCGGTGTAGAATTTATAAGTCAAAAATATAGAACAAAAATGATGCTTTCCGGTTAATAAATGGAGGTTTATCTCCCAGAAATCTGCATTTAAAAAATTTAAACTTAAACAATAAAATTTGGCTTTGAGATCGAATTGTGTTTTTTTGTATTTTCAGAACTGATGAAAGCCCATTGATGAAAGTGGAAAGTCCAGGGAAAATTTGTGAGATGCGAAGTAAGGAAAAAACCTGAGTAAGGAAAAGATTGCACCTAAAAGTTGTGTAAATTAAAGAACTAAGAACTTGCGATAAACTTTGAATCTTTAAATTTGTCTAGAAGTTGTTCTCGTCTAACAATTTCTACAAAATCTCTCAAATTTTCCCTTTTTCGTCTTTTCCAAATCCATTTTCTGGGCTTTAAATTCGTTCTCAAAGCCGATAATTCAAAAATGAAAAATTCGTTTAACTTCGCGCTTCTTTTTCCTCGTCGTTTTGGAGATTTGTTGGTGGCTCGTCGCGGAGTCGCTTGATCAGTTCCAAAAAAGACTCTGCAAAAATGTGATTTATTAACCAACTCTTCTCTTCTCCTTACCTCTAGGACTTGGCACATTGTGAACCTCGTCATATTTGCGCTGAATTCTGATCTGTTGTCTCAAACTTTAATTTCTCTCACTTACATTCATCACCTGGAGATATTTTGCCTCCATGAGACATTTCTCGGCGTTTGGCCGCTTTCGTGGGTCGACAGAGAGCATTATTTTAACCAAATCCAAGAAGTGATCCTCTGAAATGAAAATTTTTGATGATCCTTGTGATTATTATTGCTTTTGTCTACTATAGCTCTGCTTAATAGTGAGCTACAATGGCTACAATGGCTACAATTGCTAGTAAAAATCGAGCTACACTGGCTACAATTGCTAGTAAAAAACTGTCTTTTTGATTACAAGAAATAACTTGGCATCAGCTTAATAGATATCGTATTCCTTCAGCTTATAAAATCATTCGAGTTATAAACTTTTAAATAAGTTATAAACAAATTCTCTCCACTCACTTGTCAACGGTCCCCGATCTGGCTCCAGCCGTTTCGTCGGAATCTCCTTTTCAAATTGTGGCAACATCGGTTTACGTAAACCGAGTTCATCGTGGAACACATTGTCATACCTATAAGATATTAGATTTCAGTTTCTTTTATGATCTCCACTTACACTTGCTCGTATTGATCACTTTTCTGCCATCCACAAACTTTCAGAATCCTTTTCAACATATCAGCTTTAATCGTATGCGGACTCCATCCAGTTGGAGTCAACACTTTACAACCTAACATTTCGATTCCAACGACAGCTGTTGACCAAATATCGACTGGAAATTGGCTTTGACGAATAACGGTAATAGTACGTCAAAGTAAAGTAAAGTAAAGGTCAAAGTAAAGTAATTCACTGACCCTTTGTATCGTATGGCTTTCCAGCTAACATTTCTGGTGCTTGATACAAATAATCAGCTCCCGGTTGCAGTGTGTGTTCAAGACTCGGACTTTGCTTTCTCGAGCATCCAAAATCGATCAACTTTATAAGAAAACCATTTTGATTGACACCAATATTTTTTGGGGAAATATCCTAAAATTTGTGTTTATCAAAGAAATGAACTTTTCACTCACTCGATGAATGATATCATGTTCTTGTAGAAATTGGAGAGCTTTCAAAATTTGCACGAATAATGCTGAGAGTAGCCGGTGATCACGTTTGCGCTCACCACTTGAACCATCATCTTTAGAGATATGTCTGGAAAGAGTTATTGAGTTATTGAGCTTCAAATGGCAAGCTTCAAATGACAAGCTTTAAATGACAAGCTTCAAATGTTTCAATGTTATATAAGTCAACGACAATTTCTAATGAGAACTCACGCGTAATATTTGTCCAAAGAAAAATCAAGTCTTTCACGAATTATATAGAAATAAATTGGCCTTCTTTCGCTATTTTCTTCCCAAAAACATTGATAATAGCGAGCAATCTGAAAGATTTTTCATAAAAAATCAAATAAACTTTAAAATCGTTTCTAAATCATTTCTGAATCGTTTCTAAATCATTTCTAAATTTAAAAAAAGACCAACATGACGATGTTTTATAAGTCGTGAGAGTTCAATTTCTCGAATCAACTTTTTATAATCATAGTCACCAAATTGAACAAGATCAAAACGTTTTGCGACCACTCGGCCGCCCGCAGGTAAGAGAAGGCGTGCGGCTCTGAAAGAACAAGCTTGGTAGAGTTGGGAATTTTTTGTGTGCTGTGAACGTCAATAGGTGTTCAAAGGAATGCCATATGCCATCACTCCAATCATTTTGTTTTTGATTTTGAACAATAAACAATAAACAAAACAAATATTTTGAACAAAACTCTGCTTTAATTCATATAAAAATCAATCAAAATCAAAAAGATCGAAGTGAAATTGACAAAGAGATGCCATTTTTTTCCGTTGAAAGCCTATTAACGTTCACATTTCTCAGATTTACTTGACAACTAAAGACTTTTCTTTTTGTAGAACTTTACATATCAATTCATTCTATCTTTAAATAAAAACGGAATTAGATTAGATTAGATTAATTTGTCTATTTTCTAGTTTAGAGAACTATTACTAGTTTACAGAACTAAAATACCTTTTATTTCAAGTAAAAAGTGATTATGAATGTCAAGTACAGTTGAAAGTACAGTTTTTGCTTTGAATTTATAAAGTAAACTTTTGTTTTGTTTTGTTATAAAGTTTTGTTAACTTAATTACTACTAGAATGCTATCTATGAAGATTGTTTTGTGGAAAACAATGGTTTTAGCTAGGTTTTAACTTTACCAGCAGCTTTCACCCCAAACACACCCCATTTAGCACACCATAAAAGACTTTAAACATATATTATAGATGTATTATAGATTTATTATAGATATATTATAGATTATTATAGATATTTTATAGATAAATACTATAAAATGATAGAATTTTCTATTAAAAAAATCGAATAAACTCAAAAAAAACGCACTCGAGCTTAAGCTTTCCTTTAAAATTGGCTTGTTTGATCTCTACGACTTTCGCTGTCTTCTCAACTCGAATCAACGTTTGCATTTAAAGCGAAACAAGTTTTAAATAAGAGTTTTAAATTTTTAGAAAAAGGAATAAACTCAAAATGCAAGCCAAGAATGAATAGGAATTTAGATTTCGTTTCCTTTTTGTGCTGAAATCAAAATGCTGTCTGTCGTTTCAATTTGATAAGGAAATGCTGAGGGGAATCAGCAAGGAATATTTTTCAATAAAATCTTATAAAATTTTGTTAGATAATAAAATAGAAAAAAAAAATTATCAGAAAAAAAAAAGAAATTATCAGAAATTATCAATGAAATTTATTTCTACACAAAACTCGGAGGAAATTGAGATTGGGTCGAGTTTTATTGAGAAAGTAGAAAATTGAGAAAGTGTTTAAGGAAGTGTTTATGAGAAATGAAAAACCCCCGGTTTCTACTAAATTTTTATCCAGCAATCTTTAGCGCAAAAGATAAGAAATCAAAAGAAAACGTATGTTGACATTAATAGAATTGGCTAAGTTTATGAATTTACAGTACTCTAATGTACAGTACAGTGTTACAGTGTACAGTACGGTGTTACAGTGTACAGTACGGTGTTACAGTGTACAGTACAGTGTTACAGTGTACAGTACAGTGTTACAGTGTACAGTACAGTGTACAGTGTGCAGTACAGTGTTACGGTAACAGTCTAGTGGAATTAAAGAGTATTGTGTTCCTTTGTTGTTCTATTGCTCTGCGTTTTCTCAAATGTTTCAACTTTTAAGAACTACTGTAATCTTAATAACTTTTAGCCAACTTATCTAATATTATTTGTACTACGGTATTTAACAGTGGACAAAAGTGGATAAATGAAAGAATAACGAGAGACAAGGGATTATGGTAGTTTTGCAAATGATCACGATTTAGAGAACTAGAAAGGATATATTTTACAGTACTCTAGTGCTTACAGTGTACAGTACAGTGTTACGGTAACAGTCTAGTGGCTAGAGGTGTTCTCAGAGATGTTTTCAAATGTTTTCTCTTTCTCAGAAAAAATTCTCAAAGAGAAATGTTTTGAAAACGGGATTACGGTAAGTTTGAGACAGACAGACAGACAGACAGACAGACAGACAGACAGACAGACAGACAGACAGACAGACAGACAGACAGACAGACAGACAGACAGACAGACAGACAGACAGACAGACAAAACAGTACAATAGATTTCAAAAAACTTCAGTAAGACGACGATATTTTGAAACAATCTTAGACTCTTCGAACTTGGGGACTTCAAATTGGTGCAATTGTTTTGTTTGTACTTGTTTGTTTGTTTGCTTATTAATTTATCGGAAAACTCACATGACCATATGTGTTGTCAAGATGTCGATGGTGTGAAATTTTTCCTTTGGCGTGTTCTCATTTCGCGAGACTCGATCCTGAAATAAAAAAAAAAATCAAATGAAACTAGCTCAATTTAAGAATTTGCTCTATTTTTCCATTTCCATCTCTTTTATATTTTCATTGATTGTTTTTAGATTTTATCCTCAAAATCGCACCTCCAAATCAACTCCAAAATAGTCAGGAACTTGGCAAGGGAAGGTGTAATCGTGAATCTGATCGACCACTTCAACCCTTTTCATTTCACCCGTGAAAGGCGGTGAATTGCTTGAATCGTCGAAAATCCATTTTGAAGTGATATCATCGTTTTCCTCAATCGGCTCCTCTTTTACTTGAACAGTCTTGCTTTGTTCATTTCCGATTTCTTTCTCTTTTTGTGGATTTGATGACATCGGTTCGTCGACTGAATGTAAATTCATTTTTTAAATTCATTTTAATTCGACCATAACCCACGATTTTTCTCTTCTTTTGGGTCCTTTTGACAATTCCCTGAATCGCCCATCTTCTTTATTTCAGCATTTCTAAAGTTTTAGAGATTCGAGATTTTTAAAGATTATTTTTATAAGATTGATAAGATTAATAAGATTTTTAAAAGCTTTAGGAAGATAATTAAGGAAAAATAGATTTATTTTTATGGACCGGATTTGATCAGTTTACGGTAGCTTTCTCTAGAAGAGACTTTTTAGAAAAATGACTTACCGTAAAAGAAAAATGACTGTAAGAGTACCCCAGTGAATTAGGTTCAGGATCAGAGATAGTAATTTAGCTATTTTTCCCCATTCTTTTCTACCGTAAATACTGTAATAGTACCCTACCCCCCTCGTACAGTCGTGTAGTCGCAAAAGTTTTTTAGTATTTCATTTTTTTCAAAGCGCTCGTGCTTCCAAAAAATGCGTCTTTGGTATCAAAAAATAGCGCTGAATTTCAGCTATTTTTTGATACCTAAGCGCGCATTGTAGCATAAACCAGTGTCGAGAAAAACTCGTTCAAAGCTAGACTACGCAACACTCCGCACCGTCATTATGGGGGTGGGGTACTATTACAGTATTTACAGTAAACAAATGGACGTTGACGATCAGTAACTGATTGATTCTTGAGTTTCTAAAAGATGCGCTTATGATTTTTAAAACGCATCTCTAGGCTGGTCAAAAGCTGGTCAAAAATACGGCAAAAATAGCCCTTCGCAGTGAAGTTTCTAAGTGTTTCTTATTCTTATTGAGTGCAGAATAAAATCATCTACATCTTGCATACTTTTGGATCACTTAAAACAGAATTAATGTCAAGAAAAGCTCAGTTAACCTCTTTTCTTCTTTTTTTTTGACATTTTCTCATCTCAAATTTATTCTAAACGTTTTAAACGGCTCCAAAAAGATTCAGTAGATACAGTACTGAAATAAATATCTATAAACCTTTCCTCTCCTTTCTTGAGTTTAAATATAGTTATATGCTCTTTCAAGGGCTAATGGAATATTAATATTTAAATTGGTATTTTTGCTTTCAGCAAGTGGTAAATTGTTGTTTCAAGCCGTTTTCTTTTGTAGGTGCTGGTCGCTCTAACTATGATTTCGGAATCTACGCAAATTTCCTTAGTCTCATATTGTAAATTTTTCCGTTTCTGCGAAACCACTTTGCCATTCTCCTTCTTGAGCGGTAAGCGGGAGAAGCTGGAAACAATATTTAACAAAATGTAGTTAAATTAAAAGTAACAAAAAGTAACAATAATGGAACCCCAGAGCATGGGCTTTCGTATTTGTGCTCTTTGGCGTCGTTGCTGACTCGCCGAGCTTGATCAAGAAGTTGTGTGTGCGGCGTTGTTCAGCCTGCTCAATTGTCAACCTCTCGGCTTGCCGGCTGGTTCTTAGTTCGTCGCTCGTTTCGACTTTCGACTTTAGTCGTTATAAAATCTGGAGTCAACCGACTGAGAGAGGTACTGTTCCGTAACTGGTTCTGGCGGCCTTGCTTTTGCCGTTAGGTTGCTTGTTGTGTAAGCCAGAGTCCTTGTCCTCGTTGCGTTTCCATTGCTCTAAAACGTAATTTTTCTTTTCCCAGCAAGGAGAAAAACATTCAAGTTGACCAACACTTTTGTGAAGACCGCTCAAGAAGTGAGATTTGGCAATGTGGTTTTTCGCTTGAACTGTGATAAAATTTTACAAATTTGTGTTCTAGGTAAATTTTGCGTAGTTCCGAATCTAGTTTCAGAGCGTTCCGCTCTTCATAAAGAAAGGCTTTGAAATCAACTTTTGGTATCCCATCTTGTGCGCTGTGCGTCAAAATCCTATTTCTAAATATTATATTACCTTGTGCCCTTGAAGAGCTTTCAGAAATGTATAACACTATAGTTTAACTCAAAGAAGGAGTTACGACGCCGAGTGCGTGTTTTAATTGTTTTCTTTTTTGCTGATTGATTCTTGAGTTTCTAAAAGGTGCGCTTATGATTCTTAAAACGAAGCTCGCCCGAGTGCACTACTATTAAGAATCATTTTTTACATCCAAAGAAAATAAGAAACACAAATAAAGTGAATTATTGAAAACGCATTATTTTGGCCGCGCTGTTTGTACGCTTTTTTTTGACCAGCTCTCCATTTGTAAGGTGCTGAAAAGTGTTTCTAAAAAGTGCGCGTCTAAAAAGCTACCGTACACGGTGTCGATTTTAGGAATTTTTAAGCTAATCGATGAGCTAGATAGTGACTATCAATCCAATGACAATCAGCTAATGATAGCAGCTTCAAATGTTAAGTTTTAAGCTGCTCATTAGCTGCTCATTAGCTTCTTTAGCCAGTGGATCTTTCAACTAAAGTATACTTTTTAGAAAACAACTTAATTTAGCTCAAAATGTAAAGAAAAAACTAAACGATTACCCATGGAAATCCTTGTGATTCATGTCTAGAAGTCTAGAAGAATAATTTCCAAAAAGATCAGATTCAAAATGTTTCAAAAATGTTTCAAAAATGAGAACACTTTTAAAATGTCGTGAAACTGGTCAGTGATTCAGGTTTTTATGTGTCATTTAACCGGTTTGAACCAAGAGTTTCAAAATTTCAAGATTCCAAGTGTTTCGAAAATGATGTCATTCAATTTTTACATGAAATCTTCAGTTTTTTAGGAAAATTTAAGAAAAAAATGACTGTTTTTTATTAAATTCTTCAATCAATCATCAATCATTAAATTCTCCAATCATCTATTAGGCTAATTGCTGAAATTTCCCCCGAAAAGCAAAGAAAAACACGAAAATTTCGCCATTAAACGGATGATCATTTTTCTTGTGTCAGAAAATTGTTTTGCGCAAGGAAAATATCAAATGAACCGAACCAAACAGAAGCATACAAACAACGCTCTTTCCGGAGGAAGACTCAGTTTTGTGGTGTCAGCAAAAACCTTTTTTTCAATACGTTTCCGGAAGGTTCTATACGTATCAATGATGAAAATCCGGTTTAATTATTTTGAAATCATTTTTTTGTCACCAAAAATTTCTCAATATTCCATTTCAACCGGAAATGAGATAAGAAAAAGAATGACCAAGTGACCCCGATTGAATTGTAGAATTGTTCGAACAAATAGAAAATTGAGAAATAAAGATAGAAAAGCCACAGATTTGAAATCATCGTGTGATTCACACAATGATTTCAAATGAGTGAAATGAGTGAAAGACTCACACACAAGCGTAAAGGTGATTGGAAAAATCTAATTCATTGAATTCAATCCAGAAAATCCAATCCAATTCAGTCAAATCCAATCCAATCCAATCCAGTCCAATCGAATCCAATCCAATCCAATCCCAATTCATTAGAAAAAAAGGTCCTTGTCGGTTGTATCTAGAGTGTGTTGCTCGCGAGTAAGTAACTCGAGTAAATTTGCATGAGTAATTGTCGAGCAATGCGTTTTCTAAAAACAGCGCGTGCGCGAAAAAAATATAAAAGCTATTTTTTGCGCAGGTTTTTCAAAAAAAAAAATCATTTTTTACATTGGAAGGGAATTTCCCAACAAATCAGTTAAACGGCTGAGTATCTTTAAAAAGTGTCGTATATAATGCCGGGCTCGTGGTTTTTGGGTCATTTTTTTGCAATAATTTTTGCTAAAAGTACGGTAATTTTTTCCCAAGTGTGCGTTTTAAAAAACGCATCACTCGCGAGGAACACACCCTAGTTATATCCCCCAAAGAATGCCTTAATTTGTGATTATATATGAACTGATTTATGAATAAAACACTTTTGCACCGACTATAATTGAGTGACACTGAAAAATAGATATTTGAAAGCTTGATTCATTGCTAAACTTTTCTAAAGTAAATTGAGCAACGCCAGAAGCCTACTGTAGGACAGTTTAAATGATGATTTTTAAACTATATGTTTGGAACAATGTTATAAGTCTAAACAAGTTAAATAGTTAACAAGTTAATATTGAGAAGTAAAACACATAATATCGTAAAGAAAAAGCCAAATTTCATCGAAAAACGTTTGCAAACTGCAAACAAAAGAAAATGGAGGGCTTGGAGATAAGACAGGGAAATAAACACAGTTATAGCAAAGAGGCAAACAATGGTATACTTCGAAATTGATAAACAGTAAAAAAAAATCGTAAACAAAACTTTTTATGAAAGAAAGCCTTATCAGAAAGGAGGCACGTGGCATAAACAAAAAAAAAAAATTCAGTTTTCATTTTTCCATTAGCTAACTGGCATTTTTCTCGTTTTGTTTAAAATAATAAAATTCTTAAATCCTTATAAACCCGAATTTTCCCTCCTTTAGCCTAAATTTTGAAAAATTTGACTAACTGACTAATTTGATTTAACTAAATTTGACTAACTGACTAATTTGATTTAACTAAATTTGACTAACTAAATGTCCCAACAAGTGACGTGTTCACTCCGCCTTTTGATAGACAAAAATGTTTGTCTTCAATTTAAAGGTTGTGAGTTCAATTTTTATAATTGGCTAGATGCGAAAGAACAGTTCCAGGTCAATCTATCGTCATAACAGAACACTATTCTCCTACACAACTCAAGCTTTGTTTTCTACTTTACTTGCCGTATTCTCTCTAATAGTAGTGCATCCTGCGCGTTGCCTAAATTCCCCGAAATCTCGAAAACCGCTTATCAGAACCTATCGATGTGAGGTCGGAAAATGTAGCTGACGATGAGATCTAGCTGGTGATTTGAGTGTTGAGTTTCTGCGAAAAATTAGAAACCGTAAAATAGCCATCAACTCGGCTCGCCCGGGTGCACTACTATTAGAGAGAATACGGT